CTGCTGGCCACACCCAAAACATCCACCAGACGCCACCTAAATCTGAGTACACTGGGACTTGTGATGCCCTGGCTGCCCACACTTGAAACAAATCATCTGAGCTACCTGTGTCTGAGTGCATTGGGACTTGTAATGTCCCAGCTGTCCGCATCTAAAACAAGTAACATTCGGTGTAGAAGACCCCATGGACACTGAAGCTATGGGAGCGGATCTGACTGGCTGCTGTCCTCTGAACCCTGACTGTCCATGCTTCTGCTTCTTACTTGATTGACCCTCGGAGAAAGCACTCATACCCCTATTGTGCTTATAAGATTCCTTGATAGCCTTACTGTTCCTGCTTTCAGCCTCAACTACTAAGGCCTTTCGCACTGCTTTTGCGTACTCTGTCGGTTCTGAGGCAGCTACAATGGGCCTGATGGTGAGATTAAGACCATCAACAAACTTCTCTTTCTTTTCTTCCTCATCATTAGCAATCCCCGGTGCAAACCTCAAGAGCGATGTAAACTTATTCTCATACTCTGTAACTGTCATGCTTCCTTGCTTCAACCTATCAAACTCCTTCTTTAGTTCCCTCTGCTTAGGCGCCGGAAAGTACTTCTCATAGTACAACTTCTTAAAAGTAGCATATGTCATAGTATCCAGATTATGGGTGTGAGAAACGGTCTTCCAGCAAATCTCAGCATCGCCCACAAAATTGTAAGTAGCCAATGTAATCTTCAACTTGTCCATTGCCAAATTCATGGCATTAATATGTTTCTCCACCTTATCCATGAAACTATCCGCAACAAGCAGATCTGGATCGCCCTCAAACAAAGTTGGCATCAACTTCACAAACTTAGCAATGTGATAAAGAGTATCATCTAACTCATTTTTCTTTGGAAGTGGTGGTGGTGGTGCCGGTGGTGGCACAAACTGTGACGATGACGCACCTGTCGGTCGATATGCATAAAAAATAGCCTCCTGAACGGCTAACCTTAACTGCTCCCTATTTATCTGAAAAGGTGGGTCAACGGTCCCCCTTGCTTGTCCCTCTCTTGGTGGGACCAAATCACGCAATAAGATATCTTCCTCAACTTGCTCTTGATCCCTTTCCACGGGATTGGAGCTAGAACTTTCCCCGGGATTCCTTCGTGTTGGCATGACGCTATAAGAAAAAGGAAACGGATCAACAACGATGACAATAAAATACGCACGAGAGCAGAATCCTCACATGAATGACTTGACAAATATGGAAACACATAAACACCTTCCTTGCTCCCAGAATACCCAACTAATAAGAAACATGATCATGCTAATAATATACAACAACATTAAGCACTTAGCCCGTAATCATATAAGCAATTAAACAATTAAGCATGTCTTTCAAATAATTAAGCACCTTAACACATAGGCATATAAGCATGCAATCACGTAAGCAATTAAGCAAGAAAGCAAATAACTCAACTCCCCATGCAATCCTAGGAAGGCCTTTACCCGTCATCCTAATGGTATTCGAACCATCGCTCTGATACCAAATTTGTAACGACCCGAAAAGATACCAAAATAATAATAAAAATCTATAAAAATTTCGGCATAACCTCCGTAGAAAATGTCCCTCAACAACCTGTAGAAATACAAAAATAAAAGCAGTGGTCTCACTCGGCCTTAAATCTAACTTATCATGTCCCAACGCACAATTCAGATATTATATTACATTCCCAAAATGGTTACATACATACAAAAGTTCTGTTCCTCCATCTCATCCAAACAAGGGACACATCCGTTACATCAAGTTACAGTCCATAATTGTAGCTAAAATTTTAAAGTCCATAGCTTACAACATTATATCAACTAAACTAAAGTTTCACAAAATATTTAAGATTACATTTACAAAATATATATTAAAGTGCTAATATAAAAGATAGCAAAAGATAGTAAAATAAAATAGATCTCCAAGCTAGTCTAAACCAGTGGTGGATCGTCGTTCGCCACCTCTTTTCTGTGTCCTGAAAAATGTTAAAAAATAATGGGGGTGAGCATAATGTCACGGACTTGAACCTTTTCAAGCTACCGTGCGGCCTTAGACACTTTCAAGCCCTCTTGAAGCGCTAAGTCAGCCTACCCGAGTGTGCTAGCTTAGTGAAGACTAAGGCTAGACAAGTGTTTTGCTTGCTTGGGTGTGTAGGAAGAGGTTAGGCAAGTGAGCAAGAGAGTTTGGAAATGTATAGAACTTGTATTGCTTGAGAGGAGAGATTACAACTTGGTTGCTTGGTGAGGTGCAAATGAACTCTCACCTCCTATTTATAGGCCTTTGGCTTTACAAGAACATTCTAGATGTGTACAAATGTGTGGCCTAGATTTAGTGTCTAGAATCTTCCAGAAATATCTACACAACTCTAGAACTATCTACTATGTACAAGACAAGTCTAGAGAATTCTAGATAATTCTATACAACTCTAGACAAGTCTAGAAAAGGCTAGACAACTCCACACTAATCTAGAGAATTCCGGAAAGTTCCATACTTGTGTAGAGAAGTCTAGAAAGCTCCAGTCCATGCAGGCTCCATGTCATCGTCTGCTGGGCGTCTGCGTGGCGCCTGTGTGGCATAGCCTCTTGGTAGCGGGGTGTGACAATAAGCTCAGTAGGAAGTGTCTAAGACACACTTCTTATATCCCCGTGAATCCCACACAAAGAATGGATAAAAAGGGACGGGGTCATACCATAGGGAAAACATAATCTCAATCACAATGACAAGCATAGTATAAATAACATCCAATCACAAATTTCCCACATGTACCATGAATTGCAATGTCATGCCTATGCCACTTCCCGTTTCCGAAACAATTCCGTTTCAACAACCAAACCGTTAATGTAATCCGACCCAAGGCACCTCCAAGGTGCCACGAAAGGAAGATTGGTTAACTATCCACGACTACAAGGCACCTTCAAGGCGTCGCATCCGGCCTAGTTAACTCAACTACATTCCTTTCTAGACTACACTAACATCACGGACCACTAGGCGCCTCCTAGGCGTCCGGTTTTCGTTACACTTTTAGAAAATATTTTTCTAAAAATAATTTCGTTTGTTCTAAAAATATATATATTTTTTCCTTCTCTTTCCCAATGAATGCATGATTGTTTGTGCTTTAATTTATCAACCCAACCATATAACTTTCACACATACTATACAAGACAAATTTATAAAATACATAATGGAGCTCTCATTTAATATTGACTTTGCATAACTAGCATGTAAAATATAAACTCAATTTCATACAAACATGTAAGCATGCTAAATCACCTCAAAACAATTATCAAATAGTCACATACATTCCATGCTTATTATTCTAAACAAATCTTTGCAAGAATTAGCACTAATTGAACATGTTAGGCATCACTTTAAGTTAGAAACTCACAAAAATACAAGAATTCATGCATTAGAACACCCCTACCTCACTTAGATGCAAAACCCCCAATTTTGAGCCCAAGAACCCTAGAATTTCAAACTCCCTAGACTTAGCCAAACGGTGATTGGCTCCTATCAAATTGACGGCTTCGATGAGCTCTCCAACTTTGCTTCACAATGTTCTACCAAAATCCAAAAGATTAAAGCTAGATCAAAGCTTGAAATTGCAAAAAAAAAAAAAAAGGAAATTGCCGAGACTGGACGCAGAGAGAGAGAGAGAAAATAGCTGGGTCATGAAATGGCCTTATGGCCTTTTGTGGTGGTTAAAACATTAGTGGGGCCCACCACTTTATTTCTTTTTCTTTTATACTTATTTTTTTTAATATCATATATATATATATAAACATCACAACAATTGTGTAAAATCCTCATTCTTATGTTTGAGACTTTGTTTCATGGGTTCAAATTGACCCTTATGACTTATGTTGACCTATTTAGACTTATTTAGAGTTATATAATTTAATTTACACACCCTAGTTGACCGTTTTGCCCTCGGTTGTTTCGGGTTCGGATAAGGACCCTGATTCGTACCCACGGTTCGGGTCGTTACACAACTAATATGAGATAGAGGGAATATTTGTCTAGATCTTATGATTGACCAACTTTGACAAGATTAGACTACAGTTACTGCACACCTCTAGAGGTAGTATATAAAAAAAATGACTCAAAGATAAAGACTACAGTTACTGCACACCTCTAGAGGTAGTATATAAAAAAATGACTCAAAGATAAAAGGTGGTAGTGAGTCAAAGTTTTCGACGTGGACAACTAATATGGGACAGAGGGAGTATTTGTTTAGATATCATAATTGGCCAACTTTGACAATATTAGACTGTAGTCACTGCACACCTCCAAATCATGTGTCATGTTCCGTTTGGTAGGATGGAAGAAATTTGGATGGAAATGAGAGAAAATAGATGAATGAAACATTCTAACGAAGAAGATATCACGTCTTTTCTTCTTTTTGTTTGGTTAGATGCACGAGAAGAGAATATAATAATACTTTATTTTGTTTGTCAGGAGAAAAGTCGAAAATGTGTTACAGGAAAATTTTATAATTTAAAAACATTTACAATAACCTTGCATTTTTTCTCCATATCTTCTATCCACCCTTCTTCCTTCCTTCTTTCCTATCAAACAAAGCATCAGGTAAGTTAGATTTTTGAAAGATAAAAAAATAGGGCACACATCTAAACTTCCAAATCATCTCTGCAATAACTTCAAAAAATCTAATGAAAGTTAATCTTTAAGGAATTAATATAATATAAATTCTCTGAGTGTTTGGATAAATCTTGTGCATTAAACTTTATTGTTTTGGTATATACAAGTATTTGAATTGTGTGACCCGCTTAGAGATCTGTTGTTCACTGAAACAACGTTATTTTAATGTACAACACCACTCCTGTTTGGAGAAGGTTTGATTATGCATGATCCTAGTTATTTTCGAGCTAGGATGAGTCTTGTGCATTCATCTTTATCGTTGAGGTAAGGTATTTGAATTGTGTGACCCTATTTACTAAAACAACGGTATTTTGATGTACAACACTACTCCTGTTCCAAAAGGATTTGGTAACGCATGATCATGTCCTTTCCGAGGTAGGAATTGATTGAAGTACACATTTCAATTCTTATTAATTTATTACTAGGAAAAATACCCAAATTCTCGAGAAATTAAAGAGTCGCACCAAAATGCTATTATATTACCACACTAAAGTTCACAAGACAGGCTGCACTGCTGCACATAGCAGGAAGATTCAATTCTCTCTTAGAAAAAAAAAAAAAAAAAAAACACAGAATTAATAGAAGAATATGAGTAATATAAAAGAAAAGACCATTTCAAAATGCACAAACATAGGACAACATAGTTTTATCAGTCCCTTGACAAGCTATATATGGTCTCGGGTGTTAATCTTCCTGCAGTTCTTTCTGATCTCTCCCTTCAAACCTGTCAATGGAGAGATATTTCCCATCTTAATCATGGACTTAGCAAACTGCTCGAAAAACAGCTCATTATTCTCCGCATATTTCTTCACCAAATCCATGGATGCTTCGTTTTTGGTCACAAGAACTTGGTCAGAATTTAATAGACCCTTTGAAGCTAACAAGTTCTTGAAGTAGTTATTATCAAACTTGGTAGGAGTGATAAAGTCCAAGAAAAACAGGTTCTGGTCACCACCGGATCTCGGGCATCGGGTGCGCAATTGGGCTGCATACGACTGTTCCAGCGCGTAATCAGGCTGTCCGTTGCCGGAATTATTGTACAACCTTTGCCTGAAGCTGGTGCACCGCGAATTCCCTATTGTGTGACTTCCTATAAATCAGTAAGAAAACAACCATGAGAAATTGCACATTTTGCTAATGATACTGAGAAGAATTTTAGTATAGAAAATGGTATACATGTGTATAATTCTCTGAAATTAAATCTAATTTTGGAATTCTAGAAAATTTATTATAAGTACTGAACCAAATAGATTACGAAACTAATTGAGCCCAGAAAAAAGCTGTGGTCCATGGACCATTTTGGTCCAAATTGTTAGAACAACTCACATGATACAGTATTCTGATATATGCAGTGACACTTCCTTTGTCTCGCCACAGGATTTGATACCAAAATGGACCATAATTAATGATCCAGAGACCACCTCATGTTATTTGACCAGGTGGTCCATTTACTATAACAATATCATAGGAAATATGAAGGTACAAACTAATTTATGAGAATTCAGGAAGGGTCTAAATAATCGTAAATTTTTAGTGAAAATCGAATCTCATACCTGGTGCTAGGAAATACCAAAGTCCAAGTGATTTTACCACTAGGCCAACCCCTCGGGTTAGGCACAAAGGCCTTGTTATAAGACAATGTCATAGTTTATTTATTTACGGAGTAATTTTTTTCCGACTCAACGTGGTAGTTAAACTAAAAATGACACAGGTACATAAACACAAAGATACAACAACAATCAAGCCTTTTTTTCAACTATTTAGGATCCGCTACGTATACACAAAAATATGAAAAGAAATTAACTTTACCGGAAAGTGCCACAAGATCCACAATGTCAAGCCCTTTGAGCTTAAATTTGGTGAGGATAGTCTGAAATGTGTTGTTTGGTGCTGGAATGTTGTTGTTGGAGCCACTCAAGCTTGCACCTCTGGAGTCTCTTCTGCCTAATGGGACCTCCCAGCTAGGTCCACCAGTCTGTACAAACACAAGATGCAATTAAGGATGATTTGGTGATGATCAATCTGAAATGGGGGAGGCTAAAAATGAATAATTATTACTCACAAAAACAGTTGAATCTCTTGCAGCTAGAGCCATGATATCAGCACAAGACACGGTGTGAGGACACTCCTTTTCCAATGCAGATTTGATCTCGTCGAGGACTTCGAACCCACGAGCCGAATTCCGGTTAGGGACGGACCTCTTCTCACTGATTATGGTTCCACTGCTGTCCAGAAGAATTGATGCATCACATCCCTGCATACTCAACAATAAACGGACAATTTGGTCATGTTAAATGAAGTAGATGAATATAATGTAAATTAAGAAAGAAATGCTAGTGTGGTTTAAGTGATGTTATGATCACAGATAAAGCCAACGGTGAAACAAAATTCATGTAGTCGACCCCAAATAATGTTGGAAACGGCATTAGAAAACGCAAACTTTGGAAGGATTTTTAAAAAGATTCCGCTAAGAATTTTTTGCGAATCTATTGATGAGCGCGTTCCTCTCTGCGAGGAGATGAACATGGTATATTTATTTTCTCAAATCCGTTTCCGGGTGAATGAGAAATTGGCTCCAAAGTAAGTGATTTATAAAGCCTAAATGGGTGTGAATAAAGTGGGAAATGCTTGTCCCACATCGGAAAAGTAGCAAAGCAACCTTGAGTATATATATGTCTAGTATGGGATTTGGGTTTGGGCCCAAGGGCACCCAAGTTTTTAAGAGGGGGAGGACCTAGGCTAGCCTGGATCCGAACCAACTACCACGCGCGCGCCGCCCGCCCGGTCGGGGCGGGGCTTGATTGTGAAACGGGTTTAACTTTTTACCCAAAGTTAGGATGGGCCTGTGACTATGGGTGCACGCACCAACAAGCCTATAAATACCCATCATTGGAATTCAGAAATCTTCTTCTAATTCTTCTTTGTTCGGTTCAGCCACTGGTTTGGATTGGGTTCAATCTTGGTCTCCGAGTTAGGATTCAATCCTGGTCTCCGAGTCTGAGTTCAACAGAGAGTGCTACACCGAGTCGGTTCGCCTATTCCATTGGTTTGAAGTGCTACTACCAAAGGAAGAAAAGTCGTTGTATCCTGGGAGATAGACGCCGAAGAGTCCGTTAGCACCGTAGCGGGGCGTATCTGTCTTAAGGCTATAGAATTAAATTCTAGCCTCGACTTTATCAGGTTCTTTTATAGTTTTATTTTCTTGATATTATATAGATTATTATATTTACAAATAATATTTAAATAAATTATACTATAGTATATGATACATTATTTATTATTTTTGATTAACAATCTTAAGACAGATATCTTTATACTATAGTAATAATTATTTAATTATTATTCTTCTTATAATTAATTATAATTTGACTCGTGGTCTGTATATCAATATATAACAGACAAATGGCAAGTACGAGTATTACCGTGCCTAATGTTCCCGTCAGTCATGGGGAGAAGCCCGAAAAATTCAACGGGACAGAGTTTAAAAGGTGGCAACAGAAAATGATGTTCTACCTTACAACTCTGAATCTAAGCAAGTATCTGACTGAGACTGCTCCAGTGTTAGATGAGGGTGATACAGACATTACCAAGCTTGGAGCTGTTGATACATGGAAGCATGGAGACTTCCTATGCAAGAACTACATCCTCAATGGATTGGACAACACCTTATATAATGTGTACAGTCCAATAAATACTGCTAAAGAGCTTTGGGAGTCGTTAGACAAAAAGTATAAAACAGAGGATGCTGGATTGAAGAAATTCGTGGTTGGACGATTTCTGGACTTCAAAATGATAGACTCCAAGACAGTCGTGAGCCAAGTGCAGGAGCTCCAGCTAATCCTACATGAGATACATGCTGAGAAGATGACATTGAGTGAATCCTTTCAAGTAGCTTCAATCATTGAAAAGCTGCCACCTACTTGGAAAGATTTCAAAAATTACTTGAAGCATAAGCGCAAGGAAATGGGGCTCGAAGACTTAATTGTCAGGCTGAGAATTGAAGAAGATAACCGTACATCTGAAAAGAGAGCCGGAAATTCTTCAATAGTGTCAAAGGCAAATGTAGTGGAAGCAGGACAGAAAAATAAGAAGAGGAAGCACTCTGGAGAAGGTCCTAGCCAAGGAAACTACAAGAAGTTCACTGGGAAGTGTTTCATATGCGGCAAGCTAGGACACCGAGCTAAAGATTGTCGTAGCCGCAAAACACATCATAACCCCAAGAAGAAGACCACTGAGGTGCACATAGCTGAAGAAGATAAGTTGACAGCTGATGTATCAGAGTTAAATCTTTCAGCTGTGGTTTCTGAAATCAACCTGGTAAGCAACAACAGAGAATGGTGGGTGGACACAGGAGCTACTCGTCATGTTTGCTCTGAAAAGAGGATGTTCACTACCTATGAAACTATAAATAATGAAGAACAACTCTACATGGGGAATTCTTCTACTGCAAAGGTTGAAGGACAAGGAAAAATCAAGCTGCTAATGACCTCAGGGAAAGAGCTCACTCTTAATAATGTGCTGCATGTACCAGACATCAGGAAGAACTTGGTCTCTGGGTCACTACTAAGCAAGAATGGGTTCAAGCTGGTCTTTGTATCTGATAAGTTTGTGCTGACTAAGAATGGGGTGTATGTGGGCAAAGGGTATCTAAGTAATGGACTATTTAAGTTCAATGTAATGACTGTTGTACCCAAAGCTATTAATGATAATAATAAAGCTAGTGCTTCTTCTGCTTATATTATTGACTCATCTGATGTATGGCATGGTAGGTTAGGACATGTTAATTATGATACTATTCGTAGATTGATTAACATGGAATCTATACCTAAATTTAATATTGATTTAAATCAAAAATGCCAAACATGTGTAGAAGCAAAATTGACTAGAACCTCATTTCACTCCATAGAACGAAGTACTGAACCTCTAGCATTAATTCACAGTGATATCTGTGACTTTAAATCTGTGCCAACTAGAGGTGGGAAAAAGTATTTCGTTACTTTTATTGATGACTGCACAAGATATTGTTATGTATACTTGTTAAGAAGTAAAGATGAAGCCTTGGAAATGTTTAAACATTACAAGAATGAGGTTGAGAATCAACTTGGAAAAAAGATAAAGATGTTTAGAAGTGATAGAGGTGGTGAATACGAAATACCATTCGCTGACATTTGTTCAGAACATGGTATTATTCACCAAACTACCGCTCCTTATTCACCTCAACAGAACGGTGTTGCTGAACGCAAAAATCGTACCTTAAAAGAAATGATGAATGCTATGTTGATAAGTTCTGGTTTAACCCAGAATTTGTGGGGGGAAGCTTTGCTCTCTGCTAATTATGTTCTCAACAAGGTACCTCAAAAGAAATCAAATGTGACACCTTATGAATTATGGAAAGGTCAAAAACCTTCCTATAAATTCTTAAAAGTGTGGGGGTGTTTAGCTAAGGTTGCGGTTCCTACTCCTAAGAAAGTTAAGATAGGACCAAAAACCTTTGATGGTATTTTCATAGGCTATGCACTGAATAGTAGTGCATATCGTTTTCTTGTGCATAAATCAGACATTCCTGATATCCATGTCAATACAATTATTGAGTCAAGGAATGCTTATTTCTTTGAGGATATATTTCCTTGCAAAAATCCTCTTAAAAGAAATTATGATACTGCTAATAGCAATATAGATGATGAAAATGAGGAAGAACCTAGACGTAGCAAAAGAGCTAGAACGTCTAAGTCATTCGGTCCTGACTTTCTGACATATATATTGGAGAATGAGCCACAAAGCTACAAGGAAGCTATGTCTTCTCCTGAAGCTAATTTATGGAAAGAAGCCATAAATAGTGAAATTGAATCCATCATGCAAAATCATACTTGGGAGCTGGTGGATCTTCCTCCTGGTACTAAACCTTTAGGGTATAAGTGGATTTTCAAGAGGAAGATGAAGCCTGATGGTTCAATTGAAAAATATAAAGCCCGACTTGTTGCTAAGGGATATAGGCAAAAAGAAGGCCTGGATTATTTTGATACATATTCACCAGTCACAAGAATAACATCCATTAGATTGTTACTAGCTATTGCAGCACTGCAAAACTTAGAAATACATCAAATGGATGTTAAGACTGCCTTTTTAAATGGTGAATTAGAGGAGGAAATCTATATGGAACAACCTGAAGGGTTTATAGTTCCAGGGAAAGAAAAGAAGGTGTGCAAACTTGTAAAATCCTTATATGGATTAAAACAAGCACCTAAACAATGGCATGAAAAAATTTGACAAAGTGATGTTGTCAAATGGTTTTAAAATTAATGAGTGTGATAAATGTGTGTATGTGAAAAACACTCAAAATGGATATGTCATTGTGTGCCTATATGTGGATGATATGCTTATAATGGGTAGTAATGATGTTATAATCAAAACTACTAAAAAGATGTTGACCAAAAATTTTGATATGAAAGATTTAGGCATAGCAGATGTCATACTAGGAATTAAGATTTCTAGAACATCAGATGGTCTAGTATTATCTCAATCTCACTATATTGAGAAAATATTAGAAAAGTTTAATAAAGGGGATAGTAGTCTTGTAAAGACTCCTGTTGATGTAAATCTTCATTTATCGAAAAATACTGGTCCTAGCATATCACAACTTGAGTATTCTCGCATTATAGGAAGCTTAATGTATTTGACGAATTGCACACGCCCAGACATAGCATACTCAGTTAATAAATTGAGTAGATATACTAGTAATCCAGGAAAGAACCATTGGACTGCAATAATTAGGGTTCTAAGGTATTTAAAATATACTATAAGTTATGGATTACATTATTCTAGATATCCAGCAGTACTTGAAGGATACAGTGATGCTAATTGGATATCAGATACTAAGGATTCTAAATCCACAAGTGGCTATGTCTTTACTATTGGAGGAGGTGCCATATCTTGGAAATCTTCAAAACAAACTTGTATTGCCAGATCCACTATGGAATCTGAATTTATTGCTTTGGATAAAGCAGGTGAAGAAGCTGAGTGGCTTCGTAATTTCTTAGAAGATATTCCAAATTGGCCTAAACCGGTGCCCGCTATATGTATACATTGTGATAGTCAATCAGCAATTGGAAGGGCACAAAGTAATATGTACAACGGTAAGTCTCGACATATACGTCGACGACATAATACCGTTAGACAATTGCTCTCAAGTGGGATAATCTCAATAGATTATATCAGGTCAAAAGATAATTTAGCGGATCCGTTTACAAAAGGTTTGACAAGAGAGCAAGTATATAGTTCATCGAGGGGAATGGGATTAAAGCCGAAAGCTAACGAGTCATCTTAATGGAAACCCAACCTAATTGACTGGAGATCCCAAGATTTAGGTTCAAAGGGACAACAGAAATTCTGAATGGCTCACCAGAAGCACTGGGAAGATTCAATCTTCTACCTATTTCTATGATGAGACAGTGTTACCTACAGCGATGAATAGGATAAGCTATGCTTTTAATGACTCTTATACCTTGAAAATTCAAGTGGGGTATGGTAGGATACTCTTAATAAGAAGTCACCTATATGAGTGTGAAGTGGGGCCGCTTCTATGAGAACTTCTAAGGCTAAGTTTTCTAGAGCGCTCATGAAATACCAGGCGTTGTTCAGGGCCATATGAACACAACCGTGAGAACCGACTTTGTGTGGGAAGGAATTGTGTGTTTGCTATTGTCTTGGTTTACATCAACGGCTGAACAGTTCAAGACATAATGTTCACTGGTTAGCTAGTAAATCCGATAGTAATACACTAGGGAAGGTTCAAGGCCAAAAGCTACCTATCCCGATGCAGTAACTTTCCAATAGTACTCTCTATAGTGTCTGTATCTTCTCCTTTGTAATCTGCGAAAATTTTCATTCATGTGGGGGATTGTTGGAAACGGCATTAGAAAACGCAAACTTTGGAAGGATTTTTAAAAAGATTCCGCTAAGAATTTTTTGCGAATCTATTGATGAGCGCGTTCCTCTCTGCGAGGAGATGAACATGGTATATTTATTTTCTCAAATCCGTTTCCGGGTGAATGAGAAATTGGCTCCAAAGTAAGTGATTTATAAAGCCTAAATGGGTGTGAATAAAGTGGGAAATGCTTGTCCCACATCGGAAAAGTAGCAAAGCAACCTTGAGTATATATATGTCTAGTATGGGATTTGGGTTTGGGCCCAAGGGCACCCAAGTTTTTAAGAGGGGGAGGACCTAGGCTAGCCTGGATCCGAACCAACTACCACACGCGCGCGCCGCCCGCCCGGTCCGGTCTGGGCTAGGGCGGGGCGGGGCTTGATTGTGAAACGGGTTTAACTTTTTACCCAAAGTTAGGATGGGCCTGTGTGGTAATTTTATTTTGTTGCTGGACTTATCAAAATGGGCTTATTTAAGTGGGCTTGCGGGTGGAGCACGCTGGGCTGGGCTGCCGAAGTTTGCTTGCTGGGCTTAATCTGTTTTGGGTTTAAATTCAAATCAAAAACTGTTTTTTTTTGAACCAAGGGTTGCACCCTTTACAAATTAAAAACCATTGGTCAACAATGGTTGCACCCATTCGGACTATGGGTGCACCCATTCAGAATAGGCACCAACAAGCCTATAAATACCCATCATTGGGTTCATTTCAATTCACACCAAATTCAGAAATCTTCTTCTCTTCTTCTGAATTTCTTCTTCTAATTCTTCTTTGTTCGGTTCAGCCACTGGTTTGGGTTCAACCTAAACTGGTTTGGATTGGGTTCGAACCTTGGTTTCCAAGTTTAGGTTCAATCTTGGTCTCCGAGTTAGGATTCAATCCTGGTCTCCGAGTCTGAGTTCAACAGAGAGTGCTACACCGAGTCGGTTCGCCTATTCCATTGGTTTGAAGTGCTACTACCAAAGGAAGAAAAGTCGTTGTATCCTGGGAGATAGACGCCGAAGAGTCCGTTAGCACCGTAGCGGGGCGTATCTGTCTTAAGGCTATAGAATTAAATTCTAGCCTCGACTTTATCAGGTTCTTTTATAGTTTTATTTTCTTGATATTATATAGATTATTATAATAAATATTATATTTACAAATAATATTTAAATAAATTATACTATAGTATATGATACATTATTTATTATTTTTGATTAACAAATAATTGACATGGTTTTATTGAGTTGTGAATCCAGTTTAATGTCGCTTTATATATAGTGATGTCCAATGCAATGAATTGTGTGAAATGTAGTAAACCACCAAACCTTGACAAAGCAGTCATGAAAATGGAGCCTGAGCAATGAAGCTGCCATGCGGGCTTCTTTAGCTACGGCTTTTGCGACGACAGACTTTACGATTTCTTGAGCTTTCGGGCATGAACGTTGGTAAAATTGTGGATAAAGGTAACCACCACTGGTCTTGGCAGAGAAGCAAAGTGGAGCAAGAGCAAGGAGAGTTAGAGCCATGACAAAGTTCATGGACTTGGCCATTGTTGTCTATTGAGACTTCTTTAGACGGAAGGTTGACCCTACGAAGGCTTGTTAATAATGATGAAAGTTGAAAAGGGTTGAAGGTATTTATAGAGAAAAACTCATATATTTGTGTATAGATACATGTATATAATTATGTATATATAGAGAGACATGAAACAGAATGATGGAGTTGGTTGCATTTCAGTTACCAGCTTTAATGCTTTGTGGTGTTCCTTTGCATGAATTGGTGAAGAAAACTTTTGGCTTTGCATGAACATTGTTCCTCATCATATAGAAAAATATAATCATTAGGTTTAACACATTCACTAATTCGAATCACCATTCAAACAGTTTGATTGGACGCCCCCACCCCATCTTACCAAATCCTTGAAAACAGAGAAGTTTCTACTTTACCCGTACACTTCCTTTCTTTGCTAAATGTATTCCCTTCCAAACATGTGATTAATTTGCATTCATTATTAATAAGAAATATATTGGACCTACTAAGATGGAGAGAATATGGTTCCATAATCATTGAATGCGTAAGCAATTGTATTGAAAATGTGTAAAAAAAATTAAATTTTTTGCTTACGTTATTCAATGGTGATTGGCTGGGACTAATAATTCGAAATTATCTAGAAATTACTGAAGGTGAAAGAATGCATGTGATGTAAGGGATGGAGTGAGTGAAAAAGCACAACAATAGGAGTAGAAGGACTTGCTCTGTTGACAAAACTGGATTATCTCAGAATTATTGACTCAAATTTCTATTGAAGATTGATTTTTTTGTTGGTGAAAAGGTTGTAACCTTCATAGGCTCCTAAGTCCTAACCCTTGGTTTATGGTCTATGGGCTTTGACCCCACAATCAGCATAATTGGTGTTGGTCTGTTTTTGTGTAATGGAGGATGGGGTGTAAAGAAAGCCATCCTCAATATGGAAAAGCGAATATTAGGTTAATGGGATGAATTAATTTTTTGTATGGTACAGATATTCGAATTCAGGTGGTGTTGGAGAACTGCTCCTCTAATTTGTCAGAACATAACTCTCTCTCTCTCTCTCTCTCTCTCTATATACATATATAATGAATGAATACTCTCTCTCTCTCTCTCTCTCTATATATATATATTAAGTTGGAGTTGCTTTATATGCAAGTCTTCCTTGATTCCAACTATTATAAAGGTTTCCAGATTTTCATGAACACATCACCATTGAAGCGGAATTCCTCACTCCCATTTGGAGCTTGCGTTCCCAATAATTTTCTACCTGAAATTTGCCAATTTATAATATACATTTGTTGATTTTAATTGGTAAAAATTTGGATGATTCAGTGGCATAAAGCATATCAATGCTGGAGATCATCTCATATGTAATTTGTGTTCCCAGGACTTTAAGTCAAAATATTACTTTGAGCCTTACTTACACCTACTGAACACTTTAAAACAGTGGTCTCACAAGATCCAACGACAGTTCAAAGCAAAATGAGTAGTGAATAAATAGAGCAAAAGCGTAGCACTGTATAACAAATGAAGAAATACTGCAGAAAGAAGAAGTGATTCATGATTATTATTATTATTATTATTTTCTCTCTTCAATCACATATAACACACGAGTACATGACTAGTATATAACCCTCACTGCATTCGAGTCCGCCAAGAAACAGATATATCAGGATTTGGCATACAAACACCGCGTCGTGTTACATTGTTTTCCCCCGGCCAAAAGAAAGCCTTCATCTGGTCATTCTGTGATGGAAGAAACCGTAGGAATCAAATCCTTCGTATCCAGGGAGTACCATCTAAAATATTGGAGCACATTTGCTTTTCTTATAGAGAATTGTGTATTGAGTGTTACTAGTATACCATCTAAGTCGGAGTAGGAGAAAGTGAACTCATCTGTTGTATAGGTGGCCATCTTAGATTCAAATCGAACCATATTTTCTCTCAGTTGTTCCCCTTGTTCCTTGAGCAGAAACAGGCGGACGTTCCCAAGAGGCTTGATTGATAAAAGGACTGTTAACGTCTTCTGCTCGCATATAGCCATGGCCTCCTCCATTCACCTATATTTTTGGATCCCAGAGTAAAACAATTTATTAGAGAACCTGCTTAGCAGGTGGAAGAATAAAATAACTAAACCACGTCTGAAAACAGTAACTAGGTACTAAAAGAGCCAAGATACCCACTTTCTATCTCCCAAATACCATTTTAAAACTGAAATGTCTGGGGAAGTCTGCACTAGCTATTAATTTAAGTTCACACAAAATGAACCAAATATTAACTGCTACAGTATCATACAACAACAATCAATCCTTTTGCCCAACCTCAACACACTCATATAGGGTAATAACTCCTTGATGAAAAGCATACATCATATTATTTTTCATAATAATATTAATGATAAGCAATTAATATAAACCTCTATGTCAAATATGGAATATGAGAATAAAAGGTCCTATATATTTTTCATAATGCCAATATAATAATTTCAAACGATTGCAATGGGCATCCATCATATTATTTTCCCATCAGGGCTCTGAAAGAGCTTTTCTTATGGTAATTGTTGTTTTGAGGACTAATAATCCCAAACTTCTGACAAATTTTCCTGCCAAAATATACTCTAAACCTCTCCATCTTTAACTTTATGCACAATAGCAGTATCAACTCAGCCAAATCTATACAACTGGTATTTGAGACAAAAACTCATCCTAGTTTAACTTCTAGAGTCTTAAGATCTTTAAACTGCAAAAATAAGTTTACTTACAGTTTCTAAAAGTGCAGACAAAATAGTCATGCCCGGCAATGCATCAAGTCCTCGCTGCATGTAATATATAATGGGTTATTAAATGTGGAAAACATGTCCATATTCTGTAGTTAGAAAATGCTAAATTTAAAAATGAAAAAAAAAAAAAATTATTTAGCGCTGCCAAGCAAAAGTAAAATAGCCAACCTGGTTTTGCACTCGTGTCTTGTAAACAAACCCTCCACAACAAAATAGTGCAGAGAAAACAATAAAACTGCTCCACGCCATTGTGCAAATACCAGAAGACAAAATAAAAATAAGTAACCAAAAAGAGCAATAACATGCTGATAAGGATATAGAAATTAATATGTACCAGACTGTACACATGACTGTGAACTAGCATGATGTATGAAATACGAAAATGCAGAGCACATAAATTCACATTTTAGGAGTGAGTTGGCAAACTATGCCAACAACATATAACATGTGCCAGTACATATGATACAGATGCCGACATGATTGAGCAAATAGTCTGAGAAGTTGAAAGGAAATGAACTTTGCATACATGCAAGAAAACACTCCAAACATAGCCCATCCTCTCATAGTGTCTCCCCCTTCATCCTGCCTATATTCTGCAAAGTTGAACAAGCCATGCAATGGGTTAAGTGGAATTAGCAGCTTAGCATACATGAATATCAATCAACAATTAAATATGTAGGCAGGTGACGAGTAATTAATTGATAATGTGTAAAAATTATAACTGACAGCCTAAAACCAATCTCAGTCCTTGCCCGGAATTTCATATTGTATGCTCAAAGTTTAATCATCCTTCAGATCAGAGGGAGTTCTTGAGTTAAATTTGACTTCCAAGAAAACTAGAGATATCTCTCAGCAAAAGATGCTCATAGTGTACCAAGGAGTTATTTGAAACTGGTTACTAAATAGGCAGTATATAGTCCTTATAAACGCAGGAAATTAGACCAAACATAGAAGGTTGTTTCTTCAGCGGTATATATGCTTACCTCAACAAAAAATAGTTTACCTTACTTAAATCCTTATATCCTTGTAGTTCCTTTCAGTAATTAATTTCAAAAGATTGGGTGTGGCCCTTTCTGTTCCTAATTTTCTTGCCACGATTGCTTTTCAAGAATGCTATATTATGTTTAAAAAATTCTTATTTAACAGAAAATAACAGATTATGAAGACTTGGATTACATAAGGTGATTATAAAGATGCTATATAAACCACATATCAGTGGCAAACATCAATAAAGAGAGCCAAACCATTTGTTGGGTCCAACAAAAAATCTCATGGTTCTACACCACAACTTGACCCTTCTCTCTGTCTCTCTCTCTCATATTATTACATTCCTTTATCTTTCTAGGTTGAAATATTTTGGCAGATGACAGGTCATAAGATATTTGCTCCTCATCTCCCTTTAGGGAAACCTCAAGTCCTTTGGTAACAGTGACCACATTAAAAACTGGGTACCACATATCTAGTAAACTTCTTCTGCCTATCCTGTCTCACATGAGGGGCTCCCAAGAGCCTCTGGGAGTACCTTTAACCAAAGACCCTAAAATGAAAGTAATCACCTTCAACAATGAAATTTGTCAATGGTTCCCCCTTGAATATCCTTGAAACCCACAAAAACATTTTAATTCAACCCTTAAAGCTTTTCCAATCCCTTAAGGCTTGAAGGAAGAGAGAAAGATGGTACCCAAAGAGTTTCTTAGCAAAACCCCAATACCTAACAATGTTGGATTTCCTTGAGGGCAACAATGGAAGTCAAACTTAGCATACAACTCAAGCAAGGATTGTCAACAAATGAGAGCGAAGCAACCACCATTTAATATGAAATGAAGGAATTCCTTGGGAAAAAAGCGGGATCTCAAAAAAATCATACACATGCACTTTGACTTTACCAAGAACCATTAAACCAAAAATATTTGCAAAGATGTACTTGCGTTTTTCTCCCCCATTGATACTTACGGCAGCAAATATAGAATATTATCAAGGATTCAAGGGTACCTACCTCACACCTCTGAAGCCTAAAAGGAATCATTGAGGAAAGAAGCTTGCCACATTTAACATCCACCCCCACCCCCAGAGAGAGAGAGAGAGAGAGAGAGAGAGAGAAAGAGATGGCATACTAATTAATTCCCTTGGCTTCTTACACATGAAGCACATACTAGATGAGAGCTCCACACTTCTTTGGAGCATATCTCATGTGCTTTAAACTGAATTTTTTTTTTTTTGTGAAGCAGATCACTTTTCTATCAAGACAAAGATGTGGGCGACATTATTTTTCACCAGTGAACTTGCTTCATCCAAGCAAAACAATGTGAGTGTGCACGCAGCAAACTCCCGCATCAAGGTAATGGCTCCGGAACCAGATGCCTTGGGTTTGACTTTCCCAAGGTTAACCTAAAAGCTACAGAACTTGGTTTTCCATATGCACTAGACTCATATTGGGCTGGGGGCAACACAACAAGCACAGGAAAGAAGAAAATGCGTGCAAATTTGCGCAATAAAGATAAGGTTCCCTTTGCAAAAGGAATCACACAAAAAGTAGCTGCTGGATTCGAGAACCCAAATTATTAATTAGACAAAAGAAGGGGAAGGTGAACCTTTTAAAGAGATCAAGAAGATGATATACTACTTTCCTGAAAGGGGAAGGTGAATCTTTTAAAGAGATCAAGAAGATGATATACTACTTTTCTGATTCAATAAAATTTCATCAAAATATAAATCCAAGAATGTGTGATATAGAAATCACATTATTTTTGAAAATGTAAACGTGGAAAGACTACACAAACAACGCACAGATCCATGTATAAAGGGTTCCAACTTCCAACACACCCAACTGCCAAGAATATGATTGTATGAGTCGTGTGTGTGTGTGTGTGTGTGTGTGTGTGTGTGAGAGAGAGAGAGAGAGAGAGCATTTATGCTCCATTATAGCAATATATTACTTACCACACATTTTTGTAAAAATAAACTGGATGGGTTCATAACTCTCTACTGGGATAGTAATCTCAACTTCATATGGAGTAGCTTGGGCCTTCTCACCTGAAAAATTATGAATTGAGGTTCAAAAGATCACATATTCTGGAAGATACAAAATCCACAACAAATGATGCCCATACATCCATAAACTAAATGTAAATCCTTCAACATGCCCCCTCACGTGTGGCTTTCTTTTGGTCCAACACGTGTTTTTCAATTTTTTATTGAGGGTGACAGTAAGGTTTGAACTCAAGACCTTTGGCTCTGATACCTTGTTAACTATCCATCTACTCTAAAAGTTTAAGCTGTTACAGAGGGTGTAACTTAAATATATAAATCCTTCAACACTAAAGAATCCTTACATCTCCAATCCACAATCAATGCAGTGGGTGATAAAGTTGTTGAGGGTCTCCCAGTTGCTCCTGATCCTGATAACCTGACCTCTAGGCCATGTTCTGGGAAAACCTAGAAAAGAGAAAAAAATGTTGAGTTTTCTGAAAGCAACTCAATCAACAAGAGGGAAAATAGCCTGTACATGTATCCATCATGGCAGGTATCTGCCCAAATGAACACACAAATTACTATACCTTAATGATTGGTTTCCGCACTAAACTGGAAAGGGAAGCAACTGCTGTCATATAAAGGACTACATGAGTTTGTTCAGTTCCAAAGCTGCAAAATGCAAACATTTGACTTTCAAGAATGTTGTCAAGAAGATAATGGAAAAGTAAGTGATAACAATTTAATGTTCATTCTGGAGATATTTTATGCAGGAGAGTGTATTAGCATTGCGAACATTTCCGTTATCTAGGCTCAATTATTCACAAGAGAAATTGGAAATGATGTTAATCATAGAATCAAGGTAGGATGAGTTAAATGGAGGAATGATCTAGTATGGCGGATCGGCATATCCCTCTAAGATTGAAAGAAATTTCTATTAAACAGCTAATAGACCAGACATTTTAATAAGACAGAATGAGGCAGCTAAGAAACAACATATGCATAAAACTAGAGTGGAGAAAAAGTGAATGTTAAGATGGATGCGCGACAAGACAAGAAATGACAGAATCAGAGATGTACACACATTCATGAAATGGTTGAAATAGCACCCTCCGGAAACAAAATGAGAGAAAATCGATTAAAATGGTTTGGACACGTACAAAGAAGACAATAAAGTGAGACACTTAGGAAGAGTGAGATAGGTAATGCTAGGGGAAGAAGAAAACAAAAATTAACATCGTTAGAATTAGTAAGGAAAGATACGTAACATGTGGTTTGACAGCAAACCATGACCTTAGATAGACTAGAATGAAAATATAGGATTCATGCAGTCAACCCCAAATAGATGGGAAAAGGCTTAGTTGAGTTGAGCTGAGCCGAGCTGAGGGTACAGTGATGAAGATGATGATAATTATGTTATTTGAAAAGTGATTTGGAAGTTCATAAGAAGTAGGTAATCATGTACAAACCAGAACAATTTTATCACTGATGTGATTTCTATTATCACCAAAGCCAAAAAGATTATTCATAAAATGCAATCTATCCAACAGAAAGTGTATTTGCGTTGTCAGAAATATATGGTTTTTATGAAGGAGTTGTGCTTTTAGGTGTTGGGGAGGTGTTGTTCTTAGAGGAGAGGAGAGGCAGGTCTCAGAATCAGGGCCAGCATACCATGTGAGATGCATCTGCAAGGACGGAATAGACACACATTTGATGAGCCAGAATGGTTCATGTTTTGAAGAGGATGAAGCTAAAAACTTTTCAGTTCTGGTTGACAGGAAGATTCCCTGACTATTCTTTTGTGGATTTCACAGGTGATTTGAACTTCGATGAGGAGTTTCTTAAGGTTCATTTATACTTCCTGTATACATGGGTCGTTCTCTATCTGCGCTTTTTATATTTTATATACAAGTTATATTTAAAACAGAATGTATCTTGTCTTAAGAAAAGACTAACAATTGATGAAGTCTAGATCCTCATAAAAACCAACTTATTTTGGGAAATAAATCAAAATTACTTGCAAACTCCCGATGACAGAATAAATTAGAAAAAAGGATAATGAATGAAATCATAATACATATACTGTACCTGAATTCATGGTAAGACTTTTCAAAGCCCACTTGAGTCATGCCATTATAAACCTACAATTCACAAGAAACAATTATGTCATCCAAAAAATATTAAAATAAAGTGCACAAAATTCTAATTATCAGTGAGGAATAACAGGATTCCTTACAACTTCCCATGACCGTGGATGAAAACCAACTGTGTAGCCTTCAAATACACGCAAACCCTGTTTCTCGCATGGAATGGCAAGTTCAACAAGAGCTCTGGACATGAAGTTACATAAGACCACAACATTTGAGAATTAGAAACATAAAAGTACAACAAATTTTAAGAAAATCTGAAATGTGATTGTGCCAAGATTTGAGCATTATCAATAAGAGATATTACTCCATCTACACCAGAAGAATGGTTCATTGTTCCATTAATGAATGTCCAGCAATAGTTGTCTACTTTGAAAAGTAAACTTATAAACTGTTGTAATTTTTTCAAGTTACCTTTTTTTCAACAGGCATGAATGTGTTAACAAATGTGAAAGAAATGTCAGTTTTGAAATCTTGTACTTTTCACTTTGAAATGCATTAAATGATTATTTCCTTGACAAGTTGGAATCACTAAGATGGACTCTTTTTCAGATAGAGGGAGCACACTTTAACACAAAGAAACCTGTGACACCAGCTTTTTAATTTGTTACGCACTTCTACTCCAATCCTCTTCCCCATCCATTACTTTTTTTTCCCCTGCCCTTTAGGTGCAGTATACAGTTTGAGATCAATTTCCACCAAAATTCTTGTACCAAACTGCTATGTAATATAAAATGAGAAAAGCCCATCCAAAAACATTACAACCAGTATCAGAAACAACAAAATTTCACAGCTCACTTAATAATATTGAAAAGGGGAAAAAGGAAAATCAGATTCAATGCTTATAAAAGTTAACAAAATTAAATGACATACTTGTGAAAAATCCATTCAGATATCCACCAACTTGACTAGAGTAAAACTCTAAAGAAATGATTATGGTTAATATATAGCATAAAACATACATTTGCAACTAGGTAATATAGTTCCCCAAGTATATGCACATATCTTAATATAAATTCTTTTAAATTTAAAAGCAGTGATCAAGACCATTATGCATATTTCATGTGGAATATAATCCATTTTTGTCAACCCTGAATCGTAGCCGTCCGCACCATCTTTCATTTCTATAAGAGTCATTAATACAATTGCAGCATGCAAATACATGCCTTGGTAAAAGAGACTTCTGTAAGTAAAAGTTAACCTGGTGTTGATGGGATGGAAGACTGGAGACAGACCTACAATTCAACATTATTTTGCATAAAGTGGCTACTCTAAGAAGTCAGCTTCCGAGAAAAAGTAAATCAAAAGACACTTCATGTCTTCTCGTCTTGTCTCTATGGGTTTATATCAATATGGAATTCCTTATAACTCCCTCTCTCTCATTCTCAGCTAATAGAAATCCATAAAGAGGGTGGCTTCAAAAATCTCTCCAGCTAGTTGTAGTGATTTTTGTTTCTTTTTCTTTTTCTTTATTTTTTATTTTATAGATAGGAAATTAAAATAAAAAGTTGGTATATTCAGATTATCCAAAGAAGGAAGAGAACACTCCACTTCCAATAGTTGTGATGATAATATAATGCACTTCTATGGAGTAGCATATTTTCTTCCACTAAGTCATTGGATATTCAAAATAAGAAGCCCATCAGATACCAAATGATGGCACCTTCAGCACAAAATTTATAAAGGTATGCATATGTAGCATATTGCAGTAGTCCCACTAAACTGTAAGTATTAAACCTAGATCACCATAGAGAAATGAAGAATCAGTGGTAAACAGAAGTACTAGAGGTTCTGTGTCAATAACCTGCAAGCTGACTCAAATGTAACATTGCATATGCATCCAAGTCCACCTGATAAATACAAACCAATTTAAAGAGTAAAACAGTGCCGATAAAGTCTTCAATTGAAGGCAAGATAAAAGTACTGAAATCAAAATAAGCACTATGTTACGACAAATGCAGCGAACCCAAGAAACTACCAAGAAACAAGACAGAAAATAAACACACACCACACACAAAAAACACAAAGATTTAGTGTCGGCAAAGGCTACATCCACGATGATCCGGCGAAAGAATTCACTATGAAAATCTGGAGATTACAAGTTTCAGCCCCCAGACCCTAGCTCTCGCTCTCACTCTCTATTCTGCGATTTTCAGTGTATCTCAATAATCCCACTCCAAACCCTAAGCACCCTTATATACCGGGCTACAAGAGAGTACTAAATAGGGTCCACGCCCACACGAAGCTCAATCAACAGGTCACAATATGACCCGGCGCCAAATTCAGGCCACAACATCACACACTATTCAACTAACAACACTTATTTGAAGTCAGAAATGCAAATTTGTTAAAAATAAACCAATAGCATTCATATAGAAACAAGAAATAAACCAAAGTGTAACACATAAAAGCAAGGATAAATTATAATGAAGTCTCGACAATACTAATATGCAAAATTATCAGATAGACTCGAGATCCCATGTTTGCATGGACCTAGATCCTCAAGTAGTCCCTAAAAGGCAGTGTTAACTAAATAACCACCACCAACAACATTGGCTATATAGTTGAAAGAAACTTACAACATCCAAATATAAAGGTTAATTTAACAACTAATTACCCTCTTAAAGCCATTTCTTTTCTTTTCTTTCTTCAGATTTCCTTTCTATGGATAAATAAAAATGTTTATTAAAGGAAAAAAGGGGAAGGCTGGTTTACAAGGGGATACAACTCCAACATTGTAGCCTTGTATAGATTTTATTACAAAACAATGTTTACGCACGGAATTCACAAGAGCTATGCATGGGTGCACAACCTACAGTTGAAAACCAAATTACAACAATATATAAGCATAGGGAATAGCAAAGATCTTAAGTTGCAAAAATGGGGAGCTCTTGATTGTTGAAGATTCTTATATTCCGCTCTTGGGAACACATCCATAAATTGTCACAGCCAGCAGAATGACTAAGATGAACAAACACAATTACTATTGTTTTAAATAGGCACATGAACCTGCACTTGAAGCATCCATGTAAGTTGAGGCATTAGAAGACTGTTAAATATGCAAACATGAGTCTTATGCCTCAAAACTTCAAGGCTCATCATAAGAAGCATGTCTCAACACTCAGGCTCATCAAATCCTTAATGCAACTCATGGGCAAGGGTTTATTATTATTATTAATAATATGCAAACACGAGTCTTATGCCTCAAACTTCAAGGCTCATCATAAGAATCATGTCTCAACACTCAGGCTCATCAAATCTGTTTCACAACTCATGGTTATGAATTTCCACAAGTCAGCTTCACTTCCCAGGCAACCAAAGACAGGACAAACAGTGTTCAGAATCACTAATACCAAAATAATCAGAATGGGTTATATTAATTCCTTAACTATGAACAACTCAATTTTGGAATTTGAATATGAAGAACTCACATACCCTTACATTGTCCATTTAGACAACTTCCACATATGATGTTTACCTGAAATTCACAAAAGAATAAAATTTCTATGAATAGAGGAAAGTCAATATTACAAGGTTAACAGTGTATAGGCCCCTCACCCTCCCCCATCACCTCTACAACAACCACAAAAAAAATGGGATGTGAAGTTTTAACAGCATTGTCATAAATTCTCAGGGAGAAGGGGAAAAAGAAAAAGAAAGAAGCAGCAGCAGCAAAGAATGTTATAAAACTAACCTGAGATGTACGTCCCATTTTGTCATAACTCTTCTCACAGTTTAAGAGGTCACCGTTGAAAAATTCCTGACGTATGGAGAGTATGAGTAGAAAAAGATTAGGTTTTGCAAGTTTCAAAATGATCGACCAACAATGTCACCAAAAAGTAGCTTGGAAACTTTCACAAAAAGTATTTGCCTGCAACCACTGCAAATTTTCCTATTTTCTTTTATTTTGTTGCAGTAAACAGGGAAAACTGAAATTATCCGTTTTTTTTTATAAGAAAGCTGCAATATCACGGGGGAAAGAGGCATAAGAAAATGGAAAATTACAAAAATAATTTGGTAACCTGCATTATATGAGTTTCTTAATCTAAATACTTGCATTTTAAAGAAATATCCAAGCAAGAATATTAAATTGAAACTCAGGGAAAAAAATTAGAAAGAGTCATAATCAATCGAGTCAGTAAATATTTCCTTTTATTGCATTTAATAGGTGACCCAACAGTACAATGGTCGCATGCCAACCATATGGTGCATTATTTCTTCGTTAGTTGCTTTTACAAGGAAACTTGTTCAACCTAAGAAGCAGTCCACCAACCTTGAATTATTGAGCAATGATTCGAATGCATCAAAAAAGCAGAAGATACACTTATCTCTGTGTGCTCATTGCAAGAAAATTCCATATATATCAGTCATAAAAGATAAGGACCTTCACTTTCAATTTTAACACTGATTTCCAACTAACTAGGCTGAATGCCACAATCCTCACTCTCTTATTTCTTAAAGATGTTACAACTTACAAGTGATGGTATTGGGGTTTGGCTCATTTATTATAATCCATTGTTTTATATAGTTCTAAAAATATGGTAGTAATTCTATTATTCATCTGTTGTATTTTATAATACAATTTTCTTTTAAGTAGCATTTTCATCACAAGTTGGTCAATCGGTAGCATATGTAATTTTTTTTTTTCATTAGCCACCAACAAACTTACATCTGACAATATCTAATCATTCCAACAACATAAGAGCAACTTCTTGACGACATCCATTCACTCATGGACTTGGAAGATATATTCTTTATTTTAAAATATGAATATCCTCCAGATGATTATGTACAGTAATTATAATTCTAAGATAGGTCATTAAGGAATAGTTCTATAAATGTGTTAAACTAACCAACTCAAACCCTGAACAGTAATAAAAATTAACAGGAAAAAAGGCCAAGCAGTTTCAGGACGGCTCTTGGTTATATGGACTGCTTTCAAGGGACAATTATAGCCAGATGCAATATTAACAAGATCACCACTTCATCATATGACAGGTCAGAGAAGGACCGTCAAAGTATATTAATTGCAACAACAGCGATAAATACTCTGTTTACACAAAGTTTAACTAAAATAAGAATCAATATCAATGACAGCTTACTTGAACAAAGTTAATGTGTCCTGAACCAGCAACAAAATAGTTGAACTTATCAAATCTCCCAAAATCCACATATCCCTGCAAAATTATCAGCACATATGTAAGTAATGGCACAACAGTAATATCAAAATATGTCAATGTGAAATAAACAGAGTACATGAAACAACATTATTCTGACCACACTACCATTTAAAAGTATGTATAATGTCAATGTTGTGCTACAATTGAATTTATGAGTTCAACATTAAGTGCTTTGGAACCCATTAACTTGTTGTCATGGCACATCAATTTAGGATACGACAATGTCACCTGCAGTTGTTACATGAGGGACCCAAACCATAAGGACATCCCTCTTTTTGCACCTTTTGCATTAAATTCACAGAAATTTTATGAATATTGGACACTATTTTGGGCCTCAACACTTGTATTAAGATCCATTCTCTTTCATGTTGTATTAACAAATTTATATGGGATACCAACACCTGTCTTGGGCCCCAACACGCATATTGAAATTCATTTTCTTTCATGTTGTATTCATGCATTTACATGAAACACCAACATCCATGTCGCCGCCGTGTTACATAAAATCTCAAAAAGGATGACTCAATTGTTTGGAATGCATACTTTCAGCATGTATCAGGTATCCATGCCAGGAAATATTATTAACCAAAACATTAATCTCTCTTTTGTATTCCCTTAAAAATAAGGTTCTCAGCACAATTGCAAGGTTTCAAACAGAACTGCAATTGGTTATAAAATAAAAAAAGACCAGTAACAAAAGTCATAATGCGAAAAATTAATGGTGTACAGAGTTCTGCCATAAGAGGTTGATGTTGTGTGTGACAGTGCAAATAAAGAGATGACATAGAGGTAAACATTGTTCTCAAAAATATATTTTTGGTTGTCTCTGGAGAAATCTAGAAGCATTGATTGATCAGATGCCTTAAACAGATAGGCAAACAAGAACATAAGCTTTTGAAATCTAGATGCAGTTGTTCTCTACATAAACCAGTGGTTTATTTTTAAAAGCGGCTGAAGGCAGGTACCCTTTTTTTTTTTTTTTTTTAATGGCAAAAAACTCACACACCCTTTTGTGTATGTGTGTGTGTCCCCTAGTGGGACTTGAACCCTAAACTACTAGGCTACACATGTAGAGATAATTTACTTCAAAAGGCAAAATGTTACCAGACAATTGGAAATGCAAAGTGAAAGAATATGATGACATTTTTATTAAAATGCATCACATTAGGTTTTTCTTCCAAAAGAGACAATTTACATATGCAAAACATACATATAACTGTTATCTTAATAAAACAATTGAGATATTGTGAGATTGGCTACCGTCTGTGCTCTAGTCTCCACATCTTTACAGAATCTAACCACCAAGTCGGAATCCTGCATAAAAAATAGCCATGACAAACGTTGGCTACAAAAATAGCTATATACGAGCAGTACACACAGCATATCATCTACAATCAGACAATCACAAAATATGATTATCATACGAGCCATTACCTTCCCCTCATACTCGAAATGGTGTCCAATCCAGCTACTCTAAGTAACAGCTTAGGAGATGACAATTTTGTTAACCATTAGATCCAACATTTAGTACAAAGTTCTTGGAATGATCAAACAAGTGAGGAAAGTTTAGGAACCAGTTGGTTCTCAGAATAATCACAACCACAACAACAACCAAGCCTTTTTCCAACTACTTGGGGTCGGCTACGATTCTCAGAATAATAATTATATAAAAAAAGGGATAAAAATTCCCAAATAAGTTTTCTTTCTTCAAGCAATGGTATTTTTGTTCTGTCAACATTTTTAGGAACAAAACGTAGCATGTTCATGCCCATTCTTGGCATACCAACTTTCATGCACATGAAAGCGCATTAACATTGAGATCAATCACAAAAAATAATAATAATAATAATAATAATAAATAAATAAATAATGGTAACACAACAACACAATAGTTTTAGTAGTTTGGCAAAAACCACAGATGTTCAGGTATAAGAAGAGATAATCCACTATATACTGTTGAGGAATTACAAAGGGTTGACAATACACATCACCCAAAATCAAGACTTCCACCCAAGGGCCACCTGATCACAATCCACAACAATATTTCTTCCAAGTTGCCTCAAGTCTAAAAAGTGGCTAATTTTAACTTGCAAAATATTTCAATGGAAAACATTTGGATTATGATAGATATTCTCAACAGATCTACAAGTATATGACCAAGCATGTTAGATTTTTCTGCGTAATTTTAAACCTATTGAACTTTGTAGGATACAAAATCATAAATATGACTGGAATTATCAAAAGCATAGCAATTGGAACTTGGTGTCGCAATTGAAGAAGCCCAAAGTGCCTGAAAAAGAACAGCTGAAAAAATGCAAAAACAAATTAGATATTAACCTTTTTCCCCCAAAGTTAAACAAGAGGCCAATGCTTCCAACATATACTATTACAGAGCAATCCTCAATTGATCAAATCAACAACCTTACCTGTGAATGCAGTTAAAAACAAGCAACATAAAGAATGTGCATCTTGCGGGTTTCTCAAGCGCCACATCTCCTCAAAAAAAAATACAAATATGTCCTGCCCAAAAATTTACATGAGCTGTACAAAACAATAGACATCCTTTGCCACATTTATGTGGAAAGACAATCAGCTAGAGCTTGAACTAAAAAATTACACACTACAGAATTATACCCATGAAAAGATACTAAGAATGAAAAAGAAATGTAATGAGGCGTTCATTCCAGCATTCCACTACAAAATTATGTGGGGTTCTTCTGATCATAACTACATATTCAAACCACCCAATTCAAAACCAATTATAATGAACAAGCATTTGTACCTATACACACACATATACACACACAAACATACACACAGTAGAATATGTACCCATAATAGTTAGCGGAATATGAATAAATTCGACTTTTGATTCAGGGTTTTCTCAAAAAAAACAATTACAATTAACCCATCGAATTCAAGTATTCCTTCAAAATAATACCCGTTCTTGGAAAGATTGATTACAGAAAAATGATAATGATAGTTTTCTTTTTGCTCAGAGTGTTGCCAATTCCACTGGAGTCTCACAATGATTGAGTATGTGAAGTTGAACTTGTAACTTCTAAATTGATAACAAGATCGCAATACATGACTTACATGATAATCAGATTTTTAACGTTTATAAATGGAGATCACATATCATCATAGCAAGAGGAGTACCTTCCCAGAATAGCTTTGCCCACTCCGAACGAAGAACGAGATTTCAGGAGAAAATGTTCAGTTCAACAATAACGAAAGTACCCTTTTTCTTTCAGGTCCTGTCTTGTTAAAAAAAAATGTCCGAATATGAGAAGTCGAAACGGACACTCTTAAAAGCCCAACGACCAGGCCCACGTCTTTGGCCCAAAGCCCGAGCTATGGAATTGGTAATGGTATCCACTGTGTTACAGTTGGGTTACTAATAAATTTCATGAATATTTTGGATTGAAATATTTTACTTCTAAAAGTTTGGATTAGCCATTTTGGTCCATGGTTTGGAGATATAAAATTTATAAATGGTAAAGTGCAAAAAATAATAATAATAATTTGTCACTTGGGCGTCAATTTTTGTCATTTTTTTTAATAAAAATTTCAAATTCCAAGATAAATTTCGGGAATTTTAGTTATTTCTTTTTTAAAAAATAAAATTTTAAATTATAAATAGTAAAATAAATAAAGTAATAAAAATAAAAATTGGGGCCTTTATAAATTTATAAAAAATGACCTTATTATATATATACTACCTCTGTCCCTTTATAATTGTCCAAATTCATATTGCACAGTTTTTAAGGCAACAATTTTTGTCATAGTTTATTATATTGGTAAATGATGCATTTTCAAATTTACCCTTCCCTAAAAATTTGTAAAAGTAATAAGAAAAAATTATTTTTAATGGGGTCCACTTATTACATTGGTAAAAGTAATATGGAAAAGTTATTTTTAATGGAGTCCACTTATTTTCAATTTTTAATTAGTTTAATCTTTTAAGGGTAAATTGGGAATGTAATAAAAAATAGTGTATTGATTTTTGAAATGGGACAACTAAAATGGGACAGCAAAAAATGAGATAATGGACTATTAATATGAGACGGACGGAATATATTTTATTATTTTAGTTTATTTTGTTTTAAGAAAATTTTAGATAGCTAGCGGACTTAACGAGTGATCGAGCTCCAATAGTATATGTCCTGTTGGGCATAAATGTGTCGCTCTAGGGAAGCAGATCATCACTAGTATTTTGTTGGGCGTCAAAACTTCCGTTGTTGATAATCAAAAACTACATTGTTCTGATGCAACAAGGGAGCGTGTGCCGGAGAAGATCTGCATTCGTCAATTGAAATCTAGTCCCACCTTTTGTGTGTGTGTGTGGGGGGGGGGGGGGGTGTTTAATGGACCAATAGAGAAAATAAAAAAAATAAAAGGTTTTTTTTTTAATGGACCAATAGAGAAAATAAAAAAAATAAAAGGTTTTTTTTTAAAAAAAAAAAAAAATGGATTCATGATGTACAGATAGAAACCTCCATATAGCAGGCCATAGTTCTCTTGATTCTGCATGGCGCAAACTGGCTGCACTGTGACTAACTCTTGCTCTATTGTGGAGATCAGTCCAGCAACTTTACTGTATTAAGATATAGTTGAAGAATGAGAAAAACAATTAACAAAAGACGTAAGCCAGCATCGACAGAAGGTAAAATATAGCACATTCATTAACCACCTAGAATGCAGTAAGTTCTACAAAAGTTCAATCTATACCATTAATCTAATTTTATTTTTTAAAAAATAAAATAAAATAAAAGAATTCCCTGCTATCATCAGATGAATAGGAGAGAAGCCAACCATACAAAGGGTCCGTATGAGGCATAGTATGATAAATTATGTTCAGCACATTTTCATGAAATAGTAGAGTCGGGCCTCGAAGCAACTTGAGACGTTAAACAAGCTTCTTAGCTTGTAATCCATAAATTTCATGGTAGCTTTGGTCGTGAAGAATCATTTCCTGGCTTTGCCTGCTTGATGTTGGGCTTTGTGAACCAGGTAGTATACAGAAACTGTTTTTGGGGCCCCACATGGTTGCATAGGAGCCTAAGCTTCTGCCTCTCCCTCATCCATCTCAATACTATTTTCATGTGCCTTTTGCTTGTCAGTCCTCTCAAACCAACTTCCTGTAAATGTTTTTAAACAATTCAGTGCGTGAAATGCATTGTAAAATTTCATGGAAGAATAAAATTCACCACGAAACTGAGAAACAAAGATCATGAAAGATGCTCATCAAATGGTTTATTCACAAAAATGAGAAGTGGTGCAACTATCATTTTTACCAATTGCTGCTCCTATTTCCCTTCAAGGTCACCTAAACCAACCACCGTCTAGTTTAGTCATGCGTATAACCTATTGGAGCCACAACCTGAAGTCTGAAGTTAGTGCCCTCCATTATACAAGCCTTTATTAGTTAACCTAGCAATGTGATAGATTAGAAACTACAATCAAACTATCAAGACCTCTAGGAAAGACTTACACAGCTAGAACCCAGATTAAGTATTAACAAGTGTGCCTGGGATGTCTTTCTGAGGAATGCAGCGCGTATCTTTTTGGTTTTAAACACCGGAACTGCCACTCAAATGCCCCAAATTTAAATAAAACTGAAAATAAGTCAACCACACACAGATCTTTTTCATTCTTATGGGAGGTAAATGTATTTGTGCTGTTTTTTCAGTATAGGCATAATAAGAGATGGATCTTCATGCAGTTTTAATCTATAACTATAAGCATCTCTTGAATAAAATTTAAACAATACAGCAGCTTCCTTCAAACCATATAGTACAATCAAACCACCTTGCATATCTACTTCACCCAATACAAAAAGCATTCAACATCAATGCTAATTTGAAACAAATTATTCATGATGCAGTTCTACGATCCAACACTAAATGCACATCACTGATCCAGTAGAACTTTAGGCCAAAAAATTTGTTCCAAAGAGGAAATGAACACATAAATAATTATCAAACTAGAAGAATCTAGTTGAAGGACAATAAAGCTTAAATGTAAACTTTAACAAGAAAATGGAAAGTTAAAGTTGAGCCCCAGGGTATCCAATCTAATTTCTTCATCCAGTCATCCAGAGGCACTGATGATGTAGGTTTCAACAAAAATGTTAATAGCACAGGTAACACGTACAGGGTGACAACCTTGACAGCGATACTGGCAGAGCATACTTGGATACTTAAGTAACAGAAATAGAGAGAGAAAAGCAATTGCCCAAGAATGCATAGAACCAAGGGATGTTGCATATATTGGCCGTGTGAGACAATCCATTAATCATAGTTATGCTAATAATCATAATAGCGTACTAGGATCATGTGCTAAGCACAGACCAGGTAGAAAAGAAACCTGCCCTTTGAGTTCAAATGTTGAATCATGATTGCATGCATGAGGAATTAAAATTTTGAACTGCATCTTGCATCAGATTCTTCATGGAAATCTCAGAAAAGGGCTTTGGTTGCTTTATCCAAAGAGCCCAGCCCAATAGGATCTGATCATATTACGACCTGAATAGCTTCGAGCTATCCGTTTTCATCCTGTTCTACCCTATATATCATATGTATAATCATATTATGTTATGTTCACGTCATAAACAAACTTTAAACGGTTAATAAGCTAATAAATGGTGTCCCTTTTAATGGTTTCCTATGTGATTTTGCAAATTAAAAAAGGCTGCAGTTGTGCACCTTTTATAGAGGTTGTACAAGATTACTCTCTACTTCACTTTCAACGTGGACAAGGGATGTAGAGTTAGAGAAGTATCACAGCATCTCAATAATCTGCGTGGGAATAACACAGATTTTAAATCTTGTCTTCACTCTGAACCTGCAGGTTGTAAAAAGTTTTCTTCCAAACCTAACCTCTACATGTTTATTAACTAATCATCCAATTAGGGGTGGGGCAAGAGGGTCCCGGGTTTAAAAAACCTACCATTCGATCTACAACATCGAAAGATTCAAAATACTTTATCAGTTATTCCTATATAAGATTTTCATAGTAGATTATAGTGAAAAACTTAAATAACTGAACGTGATAAGAAAAAACTTGATTCACTTTACCAACACGTAATAAGAAGAAACTTAATTCTCCAAAAGATTTTCAACACATTTTCTTCCCATAATATATCCATTTGGAAAAGACTATACTGAGGTCACCCACTTGTCAAGAATCATTACCTCTCTTTATTGACCATAGGATTGAGACTTTGTCTTTATATTCACAAATCTCGAGCTGCTTCAGAATCTGTTGGTGAATAAGGAGAGATCATGGCTCTTGTCAAGAGGTAGACTTTTGATAGCGTTACTCTACCCATTATTGAAAAGGCCAGATGGCAGATGCATATTCCATTATGTATTTTGAATAAGTAGGTATCTATATTACTAAATCATATCATTGGTTTATTCTGCTCAAGCCAATAAAGTATTTGAGGATTAGATAATTTGTTGGACATTGTTATAATCTTCTTGTTATTTAAAACTCTAACTTCAGGTCATTGAGAACATGAGGAAATGAAAACAAACACAAGGATATCTCAAAGGTTTCTGGTAAGTTGCTCACTTCCTCCTTAGAGAAAGACCAAGGAACAACACTGAAATGGATCGTCCTTTTGTCTATCTTCTACTGTTCTTTTGTTCTCTTTATTTTGCATTTTTATTTTTGGATAATTAATAGAGATAAAAGAAGTATTTACCCAAGTTTAAGAAATTTGAATATAAAATATTTAATTTCAAAAAAGGGGACTGCTGATAAATTTAAAATCTAGTAGAAGAACTGCCAGATACCTGCACTCGTTCCCAGGTGTCCGCAATAGTGAGAGGACCATGCTCCTTCAAAATGTCAAAGATAACTCTTGTAATTGTTTGTGTTTGCTCTGGAGGGGCTTTAAGCTCTATCGGTTTCATCTTTGGCTTTGGTTTCTTTGCCATATACCTAATTGCTGTTGCAAACATGATGATCTTCTGGAACAATCACACAATTTCTTGCACTCAAACTGCAACCAATGTTTCAATAAATTTTCAGATAGAGATCCTTACCACATGCAGCAGAAAATCATTAGTCAGCTTATCCTAAAAATAATAATAATAATACTTTTTTATTTTTCATATAAACATTTTACATTTGAAGCCCAAGACAAAACTCACTACGAAACCCCATATGGCCAGAAAAGCAAGATGAAAAAATTTGTTTGAAGAAAAACGAAAAACGTCATTGAGAAAACATGTTTCAGCTATATATTATCAAGTCTCAAAGTCTTGACTATGCTCTCTCATTTCTCAATTTCTTTAAATATTGTAACATCACTGATGGATGACCATGAGCCAGTCAGAATTGCTAGCCAAAGGAGATCTTTATCTTTCTTTTTTCCCCTTTTCAACATAAAATTGTATGGACACAATAATCCCACATATAAATTGACCTGAATTAGGATAATGAATTTCAAATCATCTAAGACAGATAGAGGGCAATACTCTTCTCCTTGTGATTTATTTTTCAAACAATTCGAGGAGATATTTAATTCATTTTAACTAGTAAAGGACCTATTAATAAAGCCAGTTTAAAAATTATTTCACTCAAGATATTTGAATTCTTTACATCTTTAGTTCTCGATGAAACTATGGTTAGTTACACACACCCAAAAAAAAAATCTCCTCTACCAATATCGCAAATGAGCATGAGATTAATGAAATTTCAAAGTATAAACACTGCAAACTCTGTTAAAGAACCCCATGATTAATCCTGTGCATCTATATAACAATTAATATAAGTATATATCGAAACACAAGCATGATGTGACCGTTCAATTGGGGCAAAAAACTGGAGAACACGTTCTTTAAAATAACTCATCGATTATTTGTGAAGAACCAATAGTTACAGAGAGGACTGTGAAATCACAAGTGGCATTTCAATGAACAGGTTGAGTGGCACTAATGATTTTACATATACATAGAACAGCTTACAGCAATAACATAACATTTGGATAGCTATATATACTATATATAGAGAGAGAGAGATGACCTTGATATTGAGAATCCGAGCACCGGCCGAATTATATCTCTCTCAGGTGGCTATTGAAAACCAAAGAAAACCGCAATTTTGCACTGGAATTGTTCCATCCTATTTGTGCTCAGGTTTATTTACAATGATACCCTCAAGATGTGTCAAAATTACGAAATAACCTGTTGAAGAATGCTGATATGAGCGGGACGGCGCGAAGTCTCTATCCTTCTCTCTCTCTCACTCTCTCTACTGTACACATCCGCGCACCTCAATTCTATACTATATAATCTATGCCCGTGGTGTGAGTTCAGCACGAAAAGAATTTCAAATTGTGTAATGATCGCTGTTCAAATTGTATAATGGTCTCTGTGTCACGAAAGTTGAGTACATGTAGGGCTTCAATTCTCATCCCAAAGTACTGTTTTCAACCACGAGAACCAAAACCAGAACAACCCTTCATTCCCTTCTCTCAACTGCAACAGCGAAAGCTCTTAGAATCGCGACTTGTCTCTGTTCTTGACGGCTGCAATCACCTCAGCGAAATCAAACAGGTACACGCCCATGTCGTCCGCAAAGACCTCGATCAGTGCTGCTTTGTTCTTACCAAACTCCTTCGCATGGTCACCAAAGTTGGTGCTCCAATGGATCCCTATGCGCGTCTTGTCTTTGAACAGGTGAAATATCCCAACCCATTTCTTTGGACTGCGTTAATTCGAGGTTATTCTCTTCAAGAATCATTCAGAGAGTCGATATTTTTTTATAGATGTATGAGAAGGGAGGGTACTTGTCCTGTGTCGTTTACCTTTTCGGCCTTGCTCAAGGCCTGTACTGTTTCTCTTGATGTCAATTTGGGTAGGCAGATTCATGCCCAGATTATATTGATTGGTGGGTTTACTTCTGATTTGTATGTTGGTAATACCATGATCGATATGTATGTGAAATGTGGTTGTTTGGATTGTGGGCATCGTGTTTTCGATGAAATGACTAAAAGGGATGTGATTTCTTGGACATCTTTGATTGTTGCATATGCGAAGAGTGGAGATATGGAAGCTGCTGCTGGCTTGTTTGATGGTTTACCTGTGAAGGACATGGTAGCCTGGACCGCGATGGTCACGGGTTTTGCACAAAATGCTAGTCCAAGGGAGGCATTGGAATTTTTCGAGAGGATGCAGGACGCTGGTGTTGACACGGATGAGGTCACTTTGGTTGGTGTCATTTCGGCCTGCGCACAACTGGGGGCACCTAAGCATGCCAATTGGATTCGGGATATTGCTGATAAATCTGGATTTGGACCTGATAATAATGTTCTTGTGGGATCAGCATTAATAGATATGTACTCGAAGTGTGGGAGTGTGGAGGACGCGTATAAGGTATTTGAGAGGATGCAGGAAAAGAATGTAGTCTCTTATAGTTCAATGATTGTGGGATTTGCAATGCATGGTCGCACCAGTGCAGCAATGAATTTGTTTCAAGAGATGGTGAAGACAGAGATAAAACCTAATTGGATTACTTTTATAGGTGTGCTTACAGCATGTAGCCATGCAGGTATGGTAGACCAAGGCCGGCACTTGTTTGCAATAATGGAGACATGCTATGGCGTGGCACCATCTGGCGACCACTATGCTTGCATGGTGGATCTCCTTGGCAGGGCTGGATGCTTGGAAGAAGCCCTTGAGCTTATCAAAACTATGCCAATGGAGCCCCATGGGGGCGTTTGGGGAGCATTGCTTGGAGCTTGTCGCATCCATGGGAATCCTGACATTGCTGAGATTGCTGCTAGCCATATATTTGAGCTTGAACCTAATGGTATTGGAAGTTATATCTTACTTTCTAACATTTATGCATCAGCAGGAAGGTGGGATGATGCTTCAAGAGTTAGGAAGTTGATAAGAATGAAGGGTTTGAAAAAGAACCCTGCATGTAGCTGGTTTGAAGTAGAGAAAGGGGTAATTCATAAATTCTTTGCTGGAGATATGACCCATCCAAAGTGTAGTGAGGTTAAACATGCATTGGAGGATCTTCTGGATAGATTAAAGAAGGTTCATGGTTACCAGCCAAACCTGAGTTCTGTGCCTTATGATGTGGGTGATGAAGACAAGAAACGAATACTAATGGGTCATAGTGAGAAGCTAGCTTTGGCATTTGGGTTGCTAAATACAGATGCTGGTTGCACCATTAGGATCGTGAAGAATCTCAGAATTTGTGAAGATTGCCACTTGGTTATGTGTGGTGCATCTCAGATCACTGGTCGGGAGATTATTGTCCGGGATAACTTGAGATTCCACCATTTCCATGGTGGGGTATGCTCCTGTGGCAACTTTTGGTGATTGAAGTAATACTGTCTTAAGCTGAATTATGTGGATACGGTTTAATTTATGGTTACAACAGCAGCTTTTTCCTACTGAATTCTGGCGGTGAAGAGTGTAGAATGACAAAAATAACAATTCAAGGTTAACTCACAATCACCTTCTTTTTGAAAAGTGATGACTCTGGCTGTGACATTTAAGTTGATGCATCAATAACAACAGCGATCAGGTAATCTCATTGTACTATTTGTTTTTCCCTTTTTATTTTATGTTGCATAGAAATGAATACATAATCGCGGTCCTGAATTTCAGTTTTCCACAGGATCATCTTAATCACTTACCACTTTAAATACATGGCTCAGCATCTACTCTGTATTCTTCAAAATAAGCTTTGGAAAAATAGTTAAAGATAAATTGACAACAATATCCTTCAGTTAAATTTATCTTGAATTTTTCTCTGATAATCCTTAATGCTTTACTAAAGGTTTTTTTAGTGTCCCTGGAATATATGAATCTAGGGTGTTACTGCTGTAAATCACCTTGTTTGGTCTTTATTGTTGATGTATCTAGAGAAATAGTTTCTGAAGTCTACTTGAACTGCCAAATTGACTTCCTTAGCTTTCAGTTCACAGTAAGAGTTCAGGCAGTTGATTAATTCATTTACTTTCTTTTTCCCCTTTTGATAAATTCAATAAAGCTTCTTAAAAGATATCCAGTTCTTTGCTTCTCTTTAGGCTTCGGTTACTTAAGAGTTCAAAGGAGTGCCACTTTCTTTGATCATGAATAGCATTCCTATTAATGGTATGTATATGTTACTAAAGGAGTGCTTATAAAAGACATGTACTTACCAAAATTCTTTGATCATGACCCCTGTTAATAGAAATGACCATTCCGTTGGGACATATACACATGCATTTATATTATAATTAATTTACAGAAGTGTAATAAATTTATATATTATTACACGTAAGATATATTATTTGACATATCTGGTTTATTAGAGTATGCTATATGTTTAATATATTGTAAATCACATATTAATGTTATACATAATATGTATATGTCTTTATACACATGCTTCCTCTTGAAAAGCTCGGGTTCCTCTCTCTACGAAACTAACAGCCTCTCTCTTTTTGTTTCATATATAATTTTTCAGTTTTTTAGAGTATGGAATGGAGCGAAATTTTTTAGCTGCTCGATGCTAGAGGCATAGTTGTTATATAGAAATATACACCATATAACTACACATCTTTCTATTAGTATCTATAGCTTTCTTTCCTTGCTGAGTTGAAAAATATATATAAACATGAAGTTCAACATAAAAGAATTGAAGCCAGTCCCTCTGTATTTTGGTTGTTTAAACCACATCTCATTTACTTTGGCTAATTAATCTCAAAAAACCTACTTGAAACTTACACACACAACATTCTTTCATACGGAACTAAACATGAGCCATTTGAAAATCTCCAGAAAGTCAATCACACTTAGATTTTTGGTAGGTATTCATATAAATTTATGTGTGTGTGTATAAACTCACACACACGTGCACGCGCGACGCAAAACAATTCTTTTTATAAAATCTGATCGTACTCATACCTCTAGTAGCCCTTCGTCTTTCCTTTGTTCAATGTGCTGTTTTGATGGTCAGTGGAGGAGGAAATTTCTAATGAACATAAACAGAGTGAGCAATTAATAGCCGTACACATTGTTCACATGCACCATCTAATATGATGCCTAGATGACACCAATCGCTCATCAGGGAAGAATAGAAGGCCTAGCATGAGAGATAAGGGCCAGTCAGGTTAGCCAAGGTGACTGCCTGGCAACCAAACAAGGGCTGTAGACATCATCTACGCACACACTCCTTGGGTGGCAGCAGGCAAGTCATCCTTGGCTATCAAACAAGACTCTTATCTTCACGTAAGACCTCTCTTCCTATCAAATTCATGCTCTCCCGATATGCCAATACTTTGTCTCAAAGTCTCTATTTATAGCCAATTAGAGAATAAACCCCAGATTCGGATACAAGTAAGTTTCCATACTCAATGTTCCTCATCCATGTATGCGTAATCTCTCACCCTCCCTCCCTCTTTCTCTCTCTCTCACACATATACAATTTACCCGCCCATGAATGAATATATTCTTTAAATTTGTAGGGACCATAAATGCTTGTTGTACTTTTGGCTAGTTGATGGAGAAGGAATTTCAACGATGAAGGAAAGTCCTCGAAGGTTTAATTGTGGTTGCACACTGACCAGCCAACTTGCATTGAATCAATTTAGCTGACTTTATTTAATTCTTCAAATGAGGCTGTGGCAAGCCACCTTTGCCTCCCCTGGCTCGACTGATATTGGAATCTGCCCTGTCTCAACTGATATTGGAATCTGCCCTGTCTCATGGACGAATGCTCATTATCGCACTGCATTGTCTAGTCCAATCATCACATTGGAGAGGAGAGGATCAATTCCCACCATTTTTGCACACCTAGAGTTGGTATGAGTAACCATAAGTTATGTGTGAATTCGATTAGTTTTCTCTTGCTAAAATAAGAAACATGCATGCCATTAGATCAAGAGCATGGAGGCTTGTAGTTAATTGGTTCACAAACAGTGTCACAAATGTCAGGCTTGTCCAAATTGGAGCCAAGCCAGCTTGGCTTTGCAAACATACATCCCCCTTCATTTTTAGTACCCTAATTGCAACAATGTGGTTCATATTTTGACATGTAAAGTCTTTTTTTCTCTTCATTCCAGCTCCATCTTTAGGCCCTAATGACCTCTTATTTTCTTTGGAACCGACTCTTACCCTACCTTTCCATGGTTTGACTATTAAATTCACGTAGAAGGAAGCAACAATCTGATAAAGTTATATTTGACTTTTTGTAAAGAAAAAGTCCAATTCTATGTGTAAAGCTTACCAAAATTGGTTTTCTCTCTCCTACCCCTACACCATCCTTCTCTTTATGACAACATGGAACCATTTCAGTTGATCCACTTGAGGATTACAATTAATGCCCTTGCCTGTAGTCAACTGTCTGCTTCTAGATAGGGAAGACCACTGAGAATTTTTGCTCATGTATATGGCTATGTAGATAATTTTCACCTTGATCTTTCTCCTTAATAATTTGTGACAATTATTTGGATTAACCTCAAAGTTGCACCAAGAAAGTCTTCCTCTAATAGGGTTTTCAAATGGAGTGTTTAACCATTCCTTATCCATTTTAAGTTCCTAAAATCTTTCCACATGATAATATAAAATAGAAATTTCCAATTAATCACAACAGTCCCACTTGTAAATTTCCGATGATCCATAAAGAACTAGTTTGTCAACTGTGTCAACGTATTTGTTGCTTGCCTAGCCTTTCCAAGGCAGCAACTATCAAGTCTTTTTTTTTCTTTTTTCTTTTTTTTTTTTTCTTCCTTTGTTTTTTTGGTTGGATAAGTAGGATTCAAGTTTCCATTTCTATACCATGAAAATTTTTTCTTTTTTCTTTTTGTCTTTTTTTTTTTCCTTCCTTTTTTTGGGTTGGATAAGTAGGATTCAAGTTTCCATTTCTATACCATGAAAGAATGTACAGGTATTGATTTCGAAATAGTATTTCACATATCAGAATTTTTTTCTCCAAGTTAGGTTCAAGTTAAAAGGATTGTATATCAGCAAATTTGTGATTATGCAAGAAATACTTGGAGAACTTTCATTTTACATAACTAAGGATTGTTCCCCCTGCCAATACTTTTTTTTAGTTTACTCCCCTTAATATATATATATATATAATAAAAAATATATTTAATGTTAGCATGCATGCCATTTCAGTGGGAGTTTGAATGCAGGTTTGTTCCAATAATAATTAGGGCTTTTATATTTTTTCTTTATCAAATCATTAAATTGATTAAGTTAAAATGTCAAACATATCAATTTCAATTGAATTGTTCAGAAGATAATACTTTTACGAAGAAACCATTTGAAATGCATTTTAAATGTCCACATACACACCAATTTTCTATCTAGGTTTATGAATATCAAGTGCGAAAACTAATGTTGAAGAGTAATTTCAAAATCAAAATTAAGAATCAGCTTGGTTTTAAAAAATTTATTTGGCTAAACATAGACTGCAATATTGATTTTTTTTTTTTTTTTTGGGTTAATTTAGAACATAATAAGAGTAAATGTGTTTCGCATCTAAGCAAATGATCCCCCACTTATAAATAGTGACCACCTCCTTCAATAATTAAATTAAATCATAATAAATGGCTAAGATTAACCTACTAGAATTCTTTTTCTAAATATCCTAGATATTTACAATTCCTGTGACACTCCAATATTCTATTATTCTCTACACACCACCATACAAATCTACAAAACTAGGGAATTCTCTATGCATTTGCAAACTAAGTGGCTTAGACATTAAATTACCATTTAAGACGTCTATTATTTTCCCACCACTTATTTTTCTTGACAAAAGGGAAAAAATAAAATAAATTAAATTGAGGTCTTAAATGGATTTTCTTAGGTTGCACTATATAGTTTTGACAGTTCACCTTCATCAGCCTCCTGGGCATACCATCTAACATGAAATGAAATGTATTAACATACCTTCTTATTAGAATGTCAACATGAAATGCAACGTATCAACTTCTCTTTCCATTCTTGTAGTCAACACACCTCATTGTAATAGCTTCCTCAAGTAATTCAACTCAAACACATACTTATCAAAAAAAAAAAAACACGAGATCAAAAGAAAGAAAACTTGCCATTCTATTTACATCTCACATAACAAGAGCATAAGAATGGGCATATTATATCCATGAAAATCTCCACATTTTGAGCAACAATTTGGACAAAGCAATGACAAAGTTGAGAACAGAGAAATTGCGAGTTTGTGAACATGAGATTATAGCAATGGTGAAGAAGATAAACAACCCATGAATGGATGCAAGAGAGTGATACAAACAAGAGGAGAGATGTACCATCTGACAATTCCAATGTCCTAGCGAGTACAAGAAAGTTCTTCAGTGCAACAAACGTTGTTACGATCTTCTTGTGGATTCTAATGGAACAAGTTGACGATTCAAAAAAAAACATGGATTGCTTTTGAGAGGACTTCCCAGAATGATTAAACTGATGTCATATATACTGGAGTGACAAGTGTATGCTGGACAATTCCACCCCGATCAGATGAGTATTCTGGCCTCCCAAAAGACCATCTCAAAAATGGAAAATCTTCCTTCCCTTTTGTTTACAAACCAAGAACTCACAGAATATCCAAGTTTTGAAACAAGCGACTATCATTATCGTCGCATGGATGATAAAGTAAAACCCTGGAGAGAACTGTATGAAGGTGGAAGTATACCTTTAGCTGACTCCAAGGATCCAATCAATTCTTGTATTTGATGCTCCAGCATGTAAACTTCATCAGCTTGATTCTTTGCTACCCATTCCTCTGTCAACCTGCACATAATGTGATTCTCAGTCATTTCATAAAGAATGAAAAATAAATAAACAATGTATTAGATGAATGTTCAATGAATTTCGACCAAAATCAATTAAAACTAGTAATATACAACACATAATAATGACAGGAATCAATATCTGGGACCAGTAAACTTGAAAGGCCTTCAAGGATCAAGATAAAGACAACTGAGCGAACTTTATTTTTTGGCATTACCACCGCAAAGAAGAGCTTTCTGATTTTATTTATTTCCTCTTTCAGGGGGTGCTCTCAACATGAGCCTCCTCGTAGCTGTTGGATTGAGAGGCTTGGTTTTCGGCCTAACTAGGGGTTCAAAACATGGAACTTATTAACTTTGGTCATCTTAATTCTTGAACATAAAGTAAGTGAAAAAGTATAGAAACTTATTAACTTTGGTCATCTTAATTCTTGAATATAAAATAAGTGAAAAAGTATAGACGTTCCACCTACAAAACTTGCAATTATTGATTTTACTAGACTCTGCACATCTATAGTGCAATTATCCTGTTATTGAACATGCTACTGATATTTAACAAATTGATTATCTTATGATCAAGGGGCATGCTACACAAGACAAACAAATGGAGAGTTGAGAGCAGCAGATAATGTTCAATACATGGAAGGTTTTCTTTTAAGACAGTTTTGACATAAACAAGGCTTGAGCACAGTTGCACGGGGCAGCATGCAACCAGAAGATGGAATTGATTCTCTACAAACAACATATAAAGCATAATAAATAACAAACTTGAAGGAGTTAACAAGTGATTAAGTAGTTTTTCAATGTAAATTTGTTTCTTCTTTTTTTTTTTCAGTACAGCGTCATAGAGAAACAAAGAAAGCAAAGCACACAAATAATTGAATCTGTCCACACTTATTCACCCCTCCCTTCCAGAAAAAGAACAGAAAAGGAGCTCAATTGATACTAACCTTGGTTCGAAGTCGGTACTGCTACTGCACTCAGAAAAAAGCACCTTGGTTGCAGGGTACAGATCTATCTTTGCAACTGTTCCCACTGTGTCGTCTATGGCCAGACAATAATCAGTACAGCACCATAAATTCGGATTTAAGAGAACTATTTGCAACTTCGGGGATCTGGTCTGAAGATCCCTAACTAAAGTCCGAAATGATAGTTCATCTTTTGCACTTTCCAGTAGCTGATTTGTGAACATCCTTTCCAAGTCATACCTCCTGTCCATGATACTTCATTAGTTAGCGTATCACATTTATTTATCCTCTATTAGTATTATTTTGGGAAAACACCTCCTATTAACACTTCGGTTAAAATAAAAAGACAAAACAAGCTTTAAAGTTCAAACTTGATATTGTTCTCTCTCTCTCTCCTTTTTGAAATTTATTAATCTAATAGTTCCATAACATGACATAGTCAAACTGATACCTCTATAAGTGGAATGGAGCCAGTGGTCCAAAAATACATGGAGAAGAGTAAGGGAATACATTATTGCAAAACTGTAAGTATCTTATAGCAAAAACTTATTTTTAATGGTTCCAAATACAAAATCAATCCATCTCAGCAAAAGCCAGTGGGGCAACCCAATTGACCTGTGCCATCAATCAACTTCCAAAATGCCTAATATTATAAAAGTTTGGTGTCCTGAAAATCCTCTGCAAAAGTTCTAATTTGTAATGCTTGCAACAAATGCATCAATCTGCAATGGAAATCAACTATTATGAAGTGATTTTTTTTTAATTTGTCTATTATTGATTCTGTGTAATTTTTAAGTATACAACATGAGAGAACAAGATCAATCTGAATCGAAAGCAAGGCTCAACTTCTATTCACAGTCAAAATTCAAGACATTGTTTCTTTAAAGACACTACTTGACTTGAAAGAAGCCTAAATCAATAAGTTCCAATGCAACATAAACTCTTGTAGCAGAAGAGTTGAGCAAGAACTTCAAAGCTGCCAGACAGATGCATCCTACTGTTCAAACTGTGCCAATTGAGTCCTATAGTGCCCCCCAAAAGAAGACAGAGCTCGACTTTAATAGTTACGCCACTTGCTTCTATTATTGTGTCACTCCATTCTTGATGGGTTGGCTAATATAACCAACATTACATGTTTGAACATCTACAGTAACACTCCAAAAGCCATAAATTTGGACTGAGTCAAGCCTAATCACCTTCTGACTTTCCCTTTATTGGCATTAAATTTCTTGTCATTCCTGCAAAAGTGAACCATACCAATCCACCTACCACCATAAGCCATAACCGAAGCTACACTCACATAAAAAATAACACAATTGACCCTCACTTTACACATTTAGCTTTGTTATCTCATCCCCATCACAGTATTTTTATCGTCTTCACCAACTAAGGGACACATGCACGTAAACTCAAACTCCACTTTGATTTTCAAACACTAGTTTGATATCCTAAAAAGAGTTCTTTTGACCTGAAACATCCTCCACGTAAATGACCATATTGCAATTTCAAATGATATGGTCAATCGACAGAGATTATATTAAATGGAAAGGCAACTTTTAGAGCGAATTTATGCAACAAAAAAAGCCAGAACATAATTCTTCGCAAAGTTCTTGTTAACAAAGGAATGCTGCAGATATGAACACATTCTTTTAAATCAATATTTGCTTACCTGAACAAATCACTTGGTCCACCGACAGGCAAACAAGTTGAGATGCAACACTTGAACAATCGAACTCCACCATCCAATGGTGCAAGATCACTACCGCAAGGGTATGCTCCAAGAAGACGTGAACACGTAGGGCATGGAAATTTAATCCACTGAACATCTTTTGAAAGATTGGAGGATCTAACCATGAAAACATTTCCTAGAAAACCATTCAGAAAAGACTTTTGATTTGCAAGGAGCCCATTGTTTTTTGTCATTTCAAATGAGCAATTTTGAGTATCATGATTGATGGCAGGACTCGTCATATCATTGCAACATCCAGGTGCTGATGCCACATCTTCAGAGAATCTCAATGCTGGTAAAATGGAAGATAAACTATCAGCATTAGTTACTTTTTCAAAAACATCACGTTCTTGATTTGCAGCAACTTTGTCGTTCTTTGGACGTATGCAGCTTAAGTTCCCACTAAATTCATGCATATTTCCGCTTTGATTCTCACAAAATACCACTCTTCCATGATCACTTCCATTATCTACAATGGATTTGGTTAAACATTTGTCATTGGTGAAATCAGCTTCGGGCTCATAGTTTTCACTTCCACTGCGATAAGGCAATTTACATCCCAGGAGGTCATCTTTGCAAAGAATAACGGATGTCGTATTTAATAGGCAAATACCCGCGGCACATGTATAGCAATTTGCATATCTAGTCACCAGCTTCTCACTTATACCTCCAAATGAACAACAACAAGACCCAAACCAATTGTCTGCCACCTCTGGCCAGTTCACTGAAGGCATTTCCACAAAAAAGCTGCATTTATGAAAAAAATTCAAAACAATTTGAAGTCACTTCAAAAACTTTATACTGTAACAACTCAGGGCAGCATATACAAGAATTCCATGTCTCTATAATCAAGATATGCCAAGTCATACCAAAATTCATTAAATTAGCACACTTCAACAGCAATAAAACTTTTTAGCCCGTTGGAATTATACAAGAAGATCTAGAAAATCGCACTAAAGGAATCACATTCTTCAACAAATAAAGTAGTGAAAACAAGAAAGACAAATTGACATTTTAAACAAAGATTACATTTAATCATAAAGTAACTAGAGGATGATATCTAGTGTTGCAAATATACATCTTATATGTGCATTATAATATTCAAAAACACTGAGACAGAGAGAGATCTAAATGCTGAAAGATGGTATTCTCACTATTCTCAGTAATGCTTTCCCTTCATTCGGTGCATTGTTCACGTCATTCCATTGGCCATGTATTGTTTGTGTAATCCAAAAGCAAATAGTGATGCTAGGATTGAAAAAATTGAACTCAGGATTTTTCAACATTTTTGTTTCTTGTCATCACTTCATCTTTTTATCTCTCATGAACATTAGAGTAAATCACTATGTTGCCGACTTGCTGGCGACAATGGAAGAGGTGGTAGGGCAGTACTAGTGATTCCACTTGACAGCATGATAGTGATAGATGTAGTGTGGCATAGGGGTGGCAATATTGACTCAACTGAACATGACATGGGATAAGGAGGTTTGGGTTTGGTTTAATCGTGTTTGGAGCATAATTGTGTCGATCAAAATTGACAATGCAATTAAACGTTTTGTGTTCATGTTTGACCTATCAACCCGTTTAACTAATCTTGTTGGACAAATGTGTCGTATTCATGTTAGAAATGACCCGTTTAACTAAACATGTCATGTTCGTGTTAGAAATGATCCTAATAGTATAGAATTTTAATTAAACATGTCTTGTCGTGACATGTTAGGTTTTCACCCATTTATTAAACGAGTTACGCATGTCGTGTTGTGTTATTTGTTTAATAATCATGTTATGTTTGTGTCAAAAATTATAATAATTGTGTCGTGTTCACGTCGACCCATATAATAGATACCCATGTCCTGACATGACACACCAATAGAAACTGACAACCCTAGTGTGGTAGCACTTGGCACAATGATATCTTTTCTTTTTCAAGAGGAGGGGTGTTTAAAATATAGTAGCTCCACAAGTTCTCTAGTACAGATGTTTGCAGTGTTCTGGTTCGCAATTGTGGTTCAGATAATTTAATACTAGCTAATTTGCCAATTTGTTTCTATAAATAGATTTCATTTTTTGGAAGGGGGAGGGGGCTAAAAGATGGAGTTTCAGCACAAAGTTCAAAGCCTTGGTTATATGGGTGTCTAAGACAAGTGGGCCTGTTATTGGCTCAGGAAGTCAACACCGAGATCCTATGTTCACCTCCATGCTCAAAGCAAGCTACTGAGATCTTTAACAAACCCACGCCAACCTCCTCCAGGGAAAAGAAAAGGACACAACTTAAACAATTATAGTTAAAACTTTTGAAGCTCATGGTACACCATTAAAGCAAGCTAGAGAAATTAATTTGAAAGACCTTGCGCAAATCCAAAGAAGATTTTCCAATACATGATCAGAAAATGTTCTATATCCCAACAAAAGCTAGATCAAACATAACACATTCGATATTGTAACCATGCATCATCCTACCCGGCTCATGAATTATAAGATTCTCTGGTCCTTTTGACCAAGTATGAAACAATGTCAAATTTTTTTCCTAAAATCACAGCATCATCAAGGTACTAAAATACCAAAAACAACTGTAAACATTTCCCCTAAAATCATAAGATATTAGTTGGCAAGTTGGCATTGTGCCTCTTCCTAGTGTTTCTGATTTTAAAAACTTTTCATCTTTATTGAAAAGTCCTTTGCCTTTGAAGTGGTTTATAATTCCAAAATTCATTTCTCAATTTTCATCATTACCTGATCGCAAAAAGCTAAACATGAATACTCTCCATCCCCACACTACAATATATAAATAATAAGCATAATAAAAGGTGGAACATAACATTCTTTTGGCCAAAAAACAAATAACAACATAGCCACAAATAGTAAGACAAAGCTACCAGATTTTGGTTCATTGGCTAAAGCACCTCATATTTCAATACGGATATCATAATTATACCAAACAATGCACCTTCAAATATGAATATTCGAGTAATATAAAACGTAAATAACAATTATAAGTAATGTAAAACGTAAATAACAATTATAGTAAATATTTTTGAAAAGAAAACAATTTATGGTAAATAAACACAAACAAGAAAAGAAAAATGTTCTACCTGAGACACCTTGTCAACTTAGTCGAGCAATTTCTGCAGTAGAAGTGCACACCTCCATCAGAAGACAAATTCTTGATCTCCGAATCCATCAAAAGAGGCCTCAAATCATCCAAGAACGCATTTTCTCGATTACACTCGTCTTCCAAGTTTGTAAAAATTGGGTGATCAACTGGAAGAAGCAGAACAAGTTTAACATCGATATGATCGTCCAATGCTCTGAAGTGAACTGGAGATTCAACGTCAACCAAAGCCCTAGGAATAGGAACCCTAAGTGAAATCTCGAGTTCTTCTTCTTCTTCGGACCAGCTCACGATGAGTAGAGATTGTTGGAGCACCAAGTTGACATTCAGGTTCTTGCATTGAGTCGATGGTTTGGAGTTTGGATTGAAGAGGAACAATCGAAGGGTAGGGATGTGAGATTGGGCTTCCCAAGTGAATCGCCATTTTCTAGGGTTTTCGAAGATGCGAAGCTCAGACGACGACATTCTCTTTCATCCCTACTTTGATTTGGCGGTAAAAATCTACTTGTTATCGGGCCGGATTGTTTCCGCTCGTCTTTATCAAATATGGGCCAGTAATTGCCAACCATCGAGATCCAGCCCAACACAATCTCTAATAGGTTTCTTTTTCTTCCCTTTTTATCTTTTATTACCCAAAAAAAAAAAAAAAAAAGAAAAAAATTTACCATGCCCATGTAACGACTCGAAAAGATACTAAAATAATAATAAAATCTATAAAAATTTCGGCATGACTTCCGCAGAAAACGTCCCTCAACAACCTGTAGAAATACAAAAATAAATGCAATGGTCTCACTGGGCCTTAAATCTAACTTATCCTGTCCCAACGCACAATTCAAATATTATACTACATTCCCAAAATAGTTACATACATACAAAAGTCCCGTTCCTCCATCTCATCCAAACATGGAACCCACTTAAGTTACATCAAATTACAATCCATAAAATGTAGATAGAATTAAAAGTCCATAACTTACAACATTATACTAATTAAACTAAAGTGTCACAAGGTAGTTAATATTACATTTACAAAATATTAGAGTCTAATACAAAAGATAACAAAATAGAATTGGTCTTCAAGCTCATCTAAACCTGTGGTGGACCGTCGTCCGCCACCTCTTTTCCATATCCTGAAAAAATGTTAAAAATAAGGGGGTGAGCATAAGCTCAGTAGGAAGTGTCTAAGACACACTTCTTATGTCCCCGTGAATCCATACAATGAATAGATAAAAGGTGAACGGGATCATGCCATCGAAAAACACCCATTCTCAACCACAATAACAAGTATATAACAAATATCAACCAATCACAAATTTACCACGATGTCATGAAGTGCAATGTTATGCAAATGTCACTCCCCAATTCCGAAACAATTCCGTTTCAACAACCAAACCGTTAATGTAGTCCGACCCAAGGCACCTCCATGGTGTCACGAAAAGAAGGTTGGTTAACTATCCACGACCACAAGGCACCTCCAAGGCGTTGCACCCGGCCTAGTTAACTCAACTACATTCCCTTCTAGACTACACCAACATCACGGACCACTAGGCGCCTCCTAGGCATCCGGTTTTCACAACACTTTTAGAAAATATTTTTCCCAAAACAATTTTTATTTATTCTAACAATTATTTTTTCCCCCTTTCTCTTTCCCCATGGATGCATGAATACTTCATGCTTAAAATCATTAATTTAACTATATATTTTCACACATTTCCATTTACATTATCATCACAATTTAATGAAAATTTCTAAACATTCATTTCCTTTATTTATTTATAACCATAGCATCCATTTTTCTTCAAGACAATAAATAAATAAATAATCATGGAAACATACAACACATTAAACACTAAGCATGCTCATTTATATGAACTCAAATAACACAAGGAGCACAATTATCATTATAATTACAAAGAACTACAACAATAACAAGCTAAGTAATTAAAATTTAGCATGCTTAGAATCAAATTCAAGGGGAAAAATTCACCAAAGGCCAAGAAATTGTAGATTAGAACACCCCTACCTCAAATTGATGAAAACCCTTAATTTGAGCCCAAGAACCCTAGAATTTTGAACTCCCTAGAGTGCACCAAATGATGATTGGCTCCTATCAAATTGACGGCCTCGACGAGCTCAACAACTTTGCTTCACAATGTTCTACCAAAATCCAAAAGATTAAAGCTAGATCAAGCTTTTGAGATTGCAAAAAGAAAAAAAAACAAAGTGAGATGCCGAGAGGGGAAATGATGCAGCAGAGAGAGAGAAAGGAAACAGTTGACTCATGAAATGGCCTTATGGCCTTTTGTGTGTTAATATGTTGGTGGGGCCCACCATATATATATATATATATATATATATATATATATATATATATATATTTATCTCACAAACATTACATTTTCCCCAATTTTAAAAGATTTCATCCCCGAAATTAAGCCATACTTGAGGGAGAAAACAACTCTGGATACTTGGAGCGAATCTCCTGTTCGAGCTCCCAAGTAGCCTCCTCAACTCTATGATGTTTCCAAAGAACCTTTACCAACGATATCGTCTTTTTCCTCAACACCTTCTGTTGTGTGTCAAGAATCTGAACTAGTCCCTCTTCGTAGGAAACATCCTCATCAATGTCCACATCAACCCAACTCAAAATATGAGACGGATCTGGCTCGTACTTCCGTAGCATCGACACATGAAAGACATTATGAACCCTGTCCATCTATGGTGGCAATGCTAGTCTGTAGGCAACCTCTCCTACGCGGTCCAAGATCTCAAAAGGTCCAATAAATCGTGGCGACAACTTGCCACTCTTCCCAAACCTCATCAACCCCTTCCTTGGAGAAACCTGAAGAAAAACATGGTCTCCCACCTCAAAGGATAGCGGTCGTCTCCGCCTATCTGCATAACTCTTCTGTCGGCTCTGAGCTGTAAGCAATCTCTGTCTGATCAGCTTAATCTTCTCGGTAGTCTCGAGTACAATGTCGGGTCCTAAGGCGGTTGTCTCGTCCACCTCAGTCCAACAGACAGGAGACCTACAAGGTCTACCATACAACGCCTCAAATGGAGCCATCTGAATACTCGCCTGATAACTATTATTGTAAGCAAACTCAATAAGTGGAAGGTGATCCTCCCAACTACCACCCAAGTCAAGTACACAGGCTCGAAGCATATCCTCAAAGATCTGGATTGTACGCTCCGACTGGCTGTCCGTCTGTGGATGAAATGCAGTACTAAGGTGCAACGCTGAGCCAAACGCTGCTTGAAGTCCTTCCCAGAACTTCGAGGTGAACTTAGCATCCCTATCTGACACAATAGCCACTGGAACTCCGTGCAATCTCACAATCTCTTTCACATAAAGTACACCTAGTGTCTCTGCGTCATCTATTGCCTTAATAGGCAAGAAGTGAGCTGTCTTGGTCAATCTATCGATAATGACCCATACGGCTTCATTTCCCCTCCGTGACCTAGGAAGACCTGTCACAAAATCCATTGCAATCTCCTCCCATTTCCACTGCGCTACCGGCAACGGCTGCAATAAACCAGCTGGTCTCTAGTGCTCGGCCTTCACCTACTGACAGGTAAGGCACTTAGCTACAAACTGTGCAACATCATTCTTCATTCCATTCCATCAATACTGACGTCTCAAATTGTGATACATTTTGGTACCACCCGGATGAACTGCAAAGCGGGAAGTATGAAACTCCCGTAAGACGTCCTCACGACAAACTGTAGGAACAACCAACAAACCCCTAAACCGTAGACCTCCATCTGCATGTAAGGTCCAATCCTTCACAATCTCGCCACTGGAGATAAAAGTGTAAATGGCATCCAAATCTGAATCCTGTCTCTGTGACTCAATCACCCATCTAACAAGAGTGGGTTGAGCCACGAGACTAAACAAGAATGTTGACTCACTGCTATCATCATCATCATCAAAACAATACAATCCCATTTCAGCCAAATTTTCCAGCATCTTCCATTTCCGAATGGCTAAACTAGCCAAAGTCCCACTAGATTTCCGGCTTAAAGCATCAGCTACCACATTTGCCTTGCCAGGATGATACTGCAAATCAAAGTTATAGTCTTCTAAGAATTCAACCCATCGCCTCTGTCTGTTATTCAAGTCCTTTTGGGAGAAAAGGTACTTGAGACTCTTGTGGTCCGAGAACACCTCAAATCTCTCACCATACAAATAGTGTCTCCAACACTTCAAAGCAAATACAATTGCCACTAACTCTAAGTCATGAGTAGGGTAGTTAAGCTCATGAGTCTTCAACTGTCGAGACCCATAAGCCACTACTTTATCATCTTGCATCAGTACATAACCCAAACCATCACGTGAGGCGTCATAATAGATCACATAACCCAAGCCACGCTCAGGTATCACCAACACCGGAGCCGTAGTCAACCTTATTTTCAACTCTTGAAAGGATGACTCACAGGCCTCATTCCATGCAAACTTGATCCCTTTCCTGGTCAATTTGGTCATAGGAGCTGCCAAACGGGAAAAATCCTTCACAAATCTCCAATAATAACCCGCTAGGCCAAGGAAACTCCGGATCTCAAAGACATTCTTGGGTTGCTCCCAACTCAAAACTGCCTCTACTTTTGAAGGATCAACTGAAACCCCACCTTCCGAGACAACATGTCCCAAAAATTTCACCTCTTGTACCCAAAACTCACACTTTTCATACTTGGCGTACAAACGGTGCTCCCGTAGAATCTGCAACACTATACCCAAATAGACCTCGTGCTCTTCCCGAGTCCGTGAATACACAAGAATATCATTCACAAAAACTACCACAAACTGATCCAAGTAATTGTGGAAGACACGGTTAATTAAATCCATGAATGCCGCCGGCGCATTGGTTAAACCAAAAGGCATAACAAGAAACTCGTAATGTCCATACCGCGTACGGAACGCGGTCTTTGGAATATCCTCCTCTCTAACCCGTAACTGATAATAGCCTGACCTCAAGTCAATCTTCGAAAAACAACTGGCTCCCCTCAACTGATCAAATAAATCATCTATCCTTGGTAAATGATACTTGTTCTTGATGGTGGCATGATTCAACTTTCGGTAATCAATGCACAACCTCAAAGAACCATCTTTCTTCTTAGCGAACAAGACCGGTGCACCCCACGGTGACACACTCGGTTAGATAAAGCCTTTCATCCTCAAATCATCAAGTTGCTTCTTCAATTCTTCTAATTCAATCGGTGCCATACGATACGGTGCCATAGAGATTGGCGCGGTACCAGACATCAAATCAATAGCAAATTCCACCTCTCAGTGTGGAGGCAACTCAGTCAAGTCCTCCGGAAACACATCCAGAAAATTACGCACAACTGCTGGATAATCAACCCCATAAAACTCAACGTCATCATCAGCGGAAAGACTAGCCAAGAAGAATGTCTGCCGATCTCGACCCCTAACACCATAAAATGAATGAGTGAGAGGATCACACCGATCTCCCACAAAACATAAACAATCCCTATCCGGGGTACACACTGAAAC